ATTTTATGAAACGTTTAATTACAAATAAAAATACCGGAATTCATAAAATTACAAAAACCAACATATTTGAAAAACAACCCAAGTTTGTCTTCTGCAAGCAGTATGTACTGTATTGGTATATGAAATTAGTCAAAACATTGTAACCTGCTTAGTTAAAATATCATTGAGGTACAGTTCCTGAACCACATACATATAACTCGACTCTTTCACAACACCTATACTGGGGATGAAACTCTCGTCCATTATAAACAGTTTAAATAAAATTTAAACCCATTACCAATCTTATTTTTTGGAATTGTGTACCTTGCCTATATATTTTAAGAAATAGTTTTCAATGCAGTGATAATTAATGTTAATGAACCGTTATATTAATTATTATTACCATTACCAGTGAGTGTACATGTAATTGTTGGAGTATGCCCAACTTGTAAAGAAATTGATGAAACTTCCACATCACCCATCTATTTAATACATAATAATTCTAGAAGTTGTCTACCTTCAGCTCCTGCCTCAAGCTCCCGGGATGCCCAGCACAAAGCTGGACATCCCACGTCTCAAGATCATGCACTATTATAGGCTGCACAGTTACAAATACCAATGCTGCTATTTGATCAGCATTATTGGCTACATTTTTCTTATGCCATTTGGCTTTGTTACTTTAGCACATTACAGCTTAGCATATTGAAATATTTAATTTTGATGAGTTAATATACGGTAATACAATCGAGGTATTTAACCATATTAATTAATTGCAGCATGTACTGAACTGCGTAAGTATTTACGATAAGATACTGCAACTATGAGTGAAGTGCCTCCACAAAAGTGAGGAATCTGATAAAGCTGGTAATTTGGCAGTGTAGCCTAGTGGAAATTAAAAATCAGTGAAAATATGGTATATACTATATATAGCATTAAGCTTAATGTCAAGCTTAATAGCTTGACATTAAGCTTAATAGCAGTCAAGCTTAAGCTTGAAAACAAGCTACTGTACCATGATTCTAAGATTTCCAAAGTATGAGAGCTTAATTTGGTAGTGTGATTTAAACAAAAATATTACTATACACTAAAATTTTACCAAAGGCGAGATCTCTCATCATAAACAGTTAAATTTTAGTTTTTCAAATTATAGGAGAACAATAGCTAAATAAAAGGTAAAGTAACATTACATATAACATTGATATGGCATTCTATTATATGGAAAAAAGTCTTAATCAGTAAGACTGATAACACCCTCTTGAAATATAATGTGATAAGTTCATAAAACGTCAATTATATAAACCTGAAAAAATGGATTTACCTGTATCAACTTAAGACACCGAGCCACGGGCTAGAGTCATTACGCAGGTATGCAGGAATTTATGAATTTTTCTCAATGCTTCGGAGATTACGTCGCAATTCAGCAAAAAGCATCCTCCATAGCACTCATAGCTTTTCGTAATCCATACACAAGTCAAGCATTCTCGACAACACAGCCAGGAACTCAAAATACTGTACCTTTGTTGGCAGATCCCGCCATGCTAGCAATATATATACTGTATGCGTCTAACTTGCATTAAATTTGTATTTTATGAAGTCAAAATAAAAAAAGAACATATCAAGTTATTACATAAATACTTATTAATATTAATCGCTTCATACAGGTCGGCGTTCAATCCCCCAACAGTGCAAGTTGTTGAGCACTATTCCCGAACCAGGAATTCACAATTCTCGAGATTGTGAAAGAGGCAAGAAGGAGAGATGAAAGGAGATGGAGGGAGGGAGAGGAAAGAGAAAGGACCGCGAGAGGAAGATGAATAAGAGACAGGTGAATGATACAGAATGGAGAGGTGAAAAAAAAAGATCATGAAGTGCAGGCAATGAGGTGGATTACATCTAGGGATCACCTGAATGGGTCAAATGGCAGTGTTCATATAATGTTTACAGTATGACATGTAAATAATGACTGTCTTGGGCTCTACCAAGAGAAAGACGGTTATACCACATAACGATCAAACTCTGTACAGCATCTCGAACATTCCCAAGGCTAGAACCAGTGATAAAGTTCATTCACATTTGATGATGAAGGCATAATTTGGACATAATGTTCGACTCCTAGGAATTTAGGCAATATATGTGATGTACTCTTTCTCCACAGCATAGCTACTGGATACATTAGTCCTTCTCCCACCCATTTACACAGTAACAATATGTGAACATCATACTCTTACTATCCTCCTATAGAGTTGCGTAAAATGTGAGAGCTCAAGGCATAGTGATAACCAGAAGTCAGGTAAGATAAGATTTATCTTAATTTTGATGCTCAGATGGACCACACAGATAGAGGACCCTGATAACAGTGGAACAACAGGCTATGAAATTGAAGTATGCCTTAATACCTATCTTTACTGTACATATGTACCAATATGAGACGAATCCACATTTGGATCAAATGTGTGAGGCTGGGAAGGTATAGACATATTTATGGGGAAGGGCAGATCACCAGGACATTAAGTAGGGGTAATGAACAGTACTTGGTACTGGGGGGGGGGGAAGAGTGTGCTATGAGACATGATATATTAAATATTTGTGCCAATTGAAGTATTATTCTGTGCAGTTAACTATATTTCTGTAAACTGGAAGCCAGGACTGTTTAATTTGTTAGGCAAGTGACAACAGCCTTTGAGATTTTCAAGACCCTACAAAAATATGAAATGATTAAATATATTATTTACTCAAAAACACCACGAGAAAATGGCAAAAAACTATATAAATAAATGCTTAATTTAAATGTCTCCACAGCATAACATTATGTTAACTGCAAATTGACTCTGCCCTTGATCAGGGATCACATTTTAACACAGTATTAGCAAGAAAATATAAATCCAGAATATTTTTTTTTCTTGTGCACCACAGATTTGTCATAACACAGAAGCACAATGCAGGGGTTAAAAACCTCTATCACTGGGGATAAATCTATTAAGAAAATTAGCCCTTTAATACACATGCTGCTTGCCATTTACCCATCCTTATTATAACTGTCTATTATAGGAGAGAATACAGAATTGGATGCTGCCACTTAAATTGGCATCAGTATTTTCCATAACATCATCAGTGCTGTATAAACAATCAAGTTATTTAATAAACAATTTTCCATTGCAATCAGCTAGTTGTGATTATAATTCACTCTCGGAAACAGTTGCTTGCCAAATTTCAATATACAGTACTGCACTGTACAATGCTTGCCAAATTTCTAAGTACTGTAGTTAATGTAGCTTTGGTAGCATTGCTTCATGCAGCCCGAGTTGTTTCTGATAAACACTTTACAACATATAAAATATAAAAATATTTTTATTGATATTTTCTATCAATTTAGACCATCTATGCAGTGAAGCCGAGAAGAATGTATTCGCAGATTTTATAATTTAAAGAAGTTCACTGCTGCTAAACAACACTCCACAACAGCTAATTAAATCAAATTAAGAATGTCAGTAACACATGGAACTCATTCAGTTTAATTTCAGCAAAAACAACAATGAATCCAGTTTATTTCCTCCATTGTTAGTTACATAATCTCCCAACGGAAAGCTAATCCTCGATCAGCAAGACATTTTTTATATAAGTAACAGTTCTTACATTCTTTTACAGCCACTAGCACGTATAGCGTTTCTGGCAAGTTCTTAATCCTAATATTCCCCAGAATACGACCTGCCAAATCATTTAACAACCAGGTACCCATTGTACTGTTGGGTAGACAGAGGCTACAGTTAAGGATTGGCACCCAGTAATTTCACCTAATACAGTACTGAAGTACTGTATTAGGTGAAATGAAATGTGACCAACCTTTTCTGTTCCACCCGGGATTCGAATCCGGAATTCTCGATTGTGCGTCGAGAACGAACCTGACTGTACCGGGACCAAATTGTGATATGATCCAAATTGTCTGGTCTTCCTAATACCCTAGCTATTGGAGTCAATTCTCCAGCCAAGCGAGCAGTTCTTGGGCCAAGCGATTTATATTTCACTGAATGATAATTATTATTGCTGATAAGGGACTGTGGATCAACAATACAATTTTGCACAATACATACAATATAGCAAAATTATTTCCCCATTCAAGTTATTAGTCGCTATGATAGCACTGGTGAATTTATTCACTGGTCATTTACTGGTGAAATAATGATAATATATGAAGAATACGAAAGTTTAAATAGGGAAATGAAAAGGGGCCTATTTATGTCTTATGTTGTCTAAATCACACCTCAGAAAATTAAGACATGACAACATTTTGGCCTGTCCTGGACCATTATCAAGTCTACTTGGTAACGAGTTCAGGACAAAAAATGTCATTTCCTAATTTTCTGATGTGTGATGTTTGGACATCATATCTTCAGTCACGTTAGTGTAAATCATCGTCTGCTTGTGGCTGCTATGGTTGGTTAATGTAGAGAGTTTTAAATGCTCAGCTTCAAATACAAGAGTCTTCACTACATGCCGTCACGTTATACTGTACTGCTTTGTGTATACAGTACGATAGAGTTAATCAATTAGGGACTTAACATTCCTTGTTAATTAAAAGAAAACATGGCCAGTGATGGGGGTTCCTATGGGGGAAAAAAGAAAATGGCACTATTTTCTTACGATTAAATTAAATTTTAAGGCGTTTTGTTGCTGACAGTATACAACATTCAAAAACACTTCCATTGTACAGTATAATAAGAACTCTTCAAATGCAGTAAAATATTGTACAATTTTATATTTTGTAAACAATAGTACAATATTCTGTTAAATACCCTAAAAAACAAAAGAATTTATGTGCCGCAATACTTAGCTGGTGTGTATTAACATCAATGTATAAATATTTTTCAGTTAATACCATATAGCACTTACCTTGTTACATGACATCATATGCAAACTTTTAAACCTTAACACAAAGATAAATTTTTGACTATTAAACATCTCTCACATGCAGGAGGAAACAAGAACAAGATTCGAATCAGAAAACAATACTGTACAGTACTCACTTTACATCGCGAGGTAATGTTCTGTAAATAAGCCATAGTGTCTGGGAGCCCCCAAGACTTAAATAAAGAGCCAGTGCACAGATGGTTATCATGGAGGCACCAAGGTTGGTGGCGTAACAAAGGACACCGGCCACACCCATGGCCACTGCTGATGGAAACATGATTCCCACCCTTTGAACCAACTTTGATGCTGCCAGAAAACTACAGCAACACTGGGACTTCAGTCTGCAAATAAGAAAGTTTATCTTAAAATTATTTATATATATTGTACTGTATTCAGTTACAAGTAAATTATTTTCTACAGTATATTTAATAGCCAAATACAACCTGGTGGATGGAAGCACGCACATTTCTTAATTTCGCTCAATAAAGGAAAACCCTTTTGAGATAATGGAATGAAAACTATTTGTGCTACATCAAAGCCTTTTTGTGTAGTTTTGTTTGGAATTGTAATGATGTGTTATCCTGCATCCAAATACAGTACAGAGGAGCAAATTCCTATGAACATAAAAAACTAATAATATACAGTACTTCCTCAACAATACAGCTCTCCACATAATGGATCCAAATAACAGACCAAATATTGTACACACAAGATCTTCCCTTCAAGTTTCGAATGCTATCAAGCTTCTTTTTGTCAGAGGGGGACCAAAGTGAAATACAGATCATAAGGTAAAAAAAAATTTTGCACAGAGAATCTGGTTTATAAACCCTTATCTAACCCAAGGATTTGGATATGTTAAACACAGGCATATAAAGCAGTGCACAATTTGAATATAAATACATAGAGCACTGAAAAAAATAAAGAAATAAACAGATCATTGCCCTGATCAAATAATATTTATTTATATACAAGAAGGTACATTATGTTTGTGAGAATACATAGCATAGTACTGTATTCACAATTTTGTAAAGCCACTAGTACGTGCAGCATTTCGAGCAGGTCCTTAATCTAACAGGTTACAATACAGATTACAATATTGGTTACATTATACAGTATTAATAATGCTGCCAGAAACTGTGTGTGTTAATAGCTTTGCTAGAATGTAAGAACACCGATAGTATTATGTACAGTATTCTCGCCACCCAATGTACCTTCTTGTATATAAATCAAATAAATAAATCTTTATCCAAATAAGCAGCACGTCTATATGCCCAATATCTAAAATCATCAGGCTAGGGATGGCTTAATTATGCAAATGATTCTCAAGTTACTTCTCAAAAATCACTTTCAAATACAGGTATACGTTTTCAAAGGTTCAGACTGATTAGGTTGATTACATGTCTAGCTAGGCAGTAAAATGCTTCATGCACATTATACATATAGGAAGTATGCCACATCTCATGTTAGCACCACACTCACACCTCTCACACACACACAGGCAACACACTCACACCTCTCACACACACAGGCAACACACTCACACCTCTCACACACAGGCACCACACACACAGGCAACACACTCATACAGACAGGCAACACACTCATACACACAGGCACCAACCTCACACACATAGGCACCACACACACACAGGCAACACCTCACACCTCTCACACACACACACACACAGGCAACACATTCACACCTCTCACACACAGGCACCACACACACAGGCAACACACTCACACCTCTCTCACACACACACAGGCACCACACTCTCACAGGCAACACACTTACAGGCACCACACACAGGCACTACACTTACAGGCACCACACACAGGCACTACACTTACAGGCACCACACACAGGCACTACACTCACACACACAGGCACCACACTCTCACAGGCAACACCCTCACTCACAAACCTACAGAGGCAGCACCCACACAAGTACCACCCTCACACCCCACACAGGCCACAGCAGCAACACCGGGGTGTTGAGTGAGGAGCAGGTGGTGCAGCAGCTCACCTTGCCGGGGCTCCAGTGGTACACTGTCTGCCTCTCACACACACTGATCAACACAAACACCACAACCTCGCCACCAGCGCCCTCTGCCCCTTCTCATATCACCGCTGCGCGATCCATATACTCAATTTGCCTTGCTTTACAATCAATAAGAGTCTACTTTCTTAGTCTATATTATTGAAGTGTTGTGGGATTAGCTAAATTGTGGCGTTATAGTTCCTCTATATGAAAAATCGTGCGGCTGGCAGCTTTGTCACGGTGACAACGGTGGATTCAGGTCAAGTTAATTTTTTTTATTTTCTGGCTGTTTTAGTGGCCTGTATCTATGTTAACTCGTATGTTTGACTACGGCCATTGCTTTTATCGTTACCTTGGTTGAAACACCAGGAAACGATATATTTGTGAAAGATCTCATTATAATATTTTATTTATATGAAAGCACTGAAGTGGTACGATTAATTATATGTTTTACACAGTGGGCAATTATATTGCTTATAACAGCAACTAATATTGCACAACATTTCAAGCAAACCTTAAGATTAATGTGTCTTTACTTTTACGATTAATTTAGACCATAAATGTTTATCGTCTAGCTATATTTAGAAGTTATTAATCAAGATCACTTCTCTAAAAGGTCAAATGTAACCCTTAGTAAGTGCAACAGCTTAATTGAAGCTCAGAGATTCTTTCTATAGGCCATGGATGTCAGGTCTCAGACCCTATAGATCAAGGGCTGGCTAGAATATACACTATATATATGGCTATATACACACTGGCTGGCTATATGATATACACTCTAATCCATACAGAACAGTGTAGTAGTAGTAGTATGCTGCTGTGTACCTAAGTATTTTATAAATGAGAAAAATCTTCGTCACCATTACATATTTAGTGGGCTACATTCTCGACTTACACTCGAGGGACCCCGGGCGGCACATCAGTAACGGTTGGGCACGTTTCCATGTTCGCATGACTTTAGTGTTGGAATTATGGCTATTCCTTTTCTCATTGTTTCTTGTACTGTAGTTGCCTTCCCTTCACGGTGTAATTAAATACATGTCTCCTATCTCCCTTACCCATTTTACATTACACTTATTTGGAATCAATTTCAGCAACCGCCTGCGCACTCCTGAAGGTAAGGTAATTATCAGGAGAAAATGATAAGCCATAACGACTATGTAGTACTTAGAGCGGATATGAGGATAAGCAGCTGGGACAGGAGGGAGGATAGTAATGGTGTCCAACAACTTGGACGGTCGGTCCACACCTGAAGTTTGACAAGGTCTTCCTGCAGCACTTTACTGTCCTCTCCAGTTCTTTCCCTCATTGACTTCGACATGTACAAGCTCACCGCCTCTGCAGTCATATATATACTGTATAATAAAAAAAACAATGGTTCTAGGACAGAGCCCTGTGGAACACCACTTTCCACTCCTCTCCAGCCTGATATAACTATGATCCTTTGTTTCCTGTATGTTAATTTAAGTATCCCCCTTACCTTGCCTTTTCTGTTATCGACACTTGTCTTGTGTATTGGCCTTTTGTGAGGAACTATCTTAAAACTTTCTGGCAGTATACCCATCCTTCTTTCTCTTGTGACCTTGTAAAAATTAAGTTTGTTAGGAATGATTTTTCCTCACCGAAGCATTGTGCGCGCTTTCAAATTTACTCTCTAAATTTTATAGAATCCTGCATGGAATGCATGTTAATGATACTAGTCTATAGTTTAGTGATTCATGTCAGTCTACTTTCTTGAATATTGGAAATTTATGTGCCTTTTTTTCACATTTCCGGTAGCTCTTCCTTCTCAATTGTAATAATAAACAATATAGGTACTGTAACGAGTAACATAAGATCCTTACAGCTTCCTTCAGTAACCATGGTGATATCTAGTACTACTGCTTTTGTTACATCAAATTCCTCAAGGTATCTTTTAACCTTTTCTACAAACTCCTTCAATTGTGCCTCGACTCACAACTCAAGGTTCATCTTCAGGCAAACTTTTTGAGGCCAATCAGATATGATGGCCCTCCGGTAAAGTCAGGTTGAATTTCACATTGTTGAGACGAGAGAAACTCATTAGCTTATAAATATTACCCTAGACAAAGAGTGACCTTCCACAGGATGCAAGCAACAACTGTTGTCTAGCTTTGAGGTACCTATTTACTGCTAGGTGGACAGAGAAGATGTAAGGAAACATGCCTAAACATTTTATTGTGAAGTAATCATACCCAGGACTATGTGGTTATGAGTCAATTGTGCTGACGAAGATATTAAGTACAGTAATAATTTAGCATTAGAAGTGGAAAACCAAGTAATGAAAGACATGTTTTGTTAATCTTTTATTAATACTGTAGGTTGTTAAAACAATAACAGTAAACACTTGAATCAAAAAATAATATATTTGTAATATACTCCCAGTCTTTAGTATGAATTACCATGGAAGAAAATAATTATTTCTCCCACTGAAGATAAACTCTTAAAAACATATGTTATGCCATTTGGTTATTTGCAAAGTGTGCTTTAGCTCTAAAACTTGCTGTTAAGTGACTTGGTTTATGATTTCTTCTGATTTATGTACATATATATTTGTGCACACTGTTTTAATATACATACAGTATATACTATTCAGTGAATTTACATATCCAGTATAAACATGACAATTTCATATGTGACATTTAAAAAGTTTGAAAATTGTTCATTAAATCATTTAAATGAATTCAAGCAGTAAATCAATACTGGTATTATAATTCAATTAAATTTAAACAGGGTCCCCCACTTTTAAGCAGGAGAAATTGAACACAATACAGTAAACTTTTCTGTCAGGGCCCTGTAAATGACAGTCCGGACGATAAGCATACTAATTGTGCACCAAAACCTATATTTCAGCCAGGAGCCTGAAACAAATAAAAGAACAGCCCACAGAAGATACCAATGAGGTAAATCATAGCCGAAATACATGCAAAAAAGGCAGGAAGCATGCCAGTCATATCTCGTGTCCATTCTTCCACCCTTGAAGGAATCAAAGTAATTATCAAAGATGGTACAAACCTGGGAAGACTATGTAGTCCTTGAAGGAAACTACTATGGACAATGGAGAAGTGAACTGTAAAGAAAAAGACCAAGCAGACTCCTGGGGGTAACCTAAGACTGCACACCAAGTTAATGTATAATGCAGACTTCTATCACTGCATCACAAGAGTGGAGCAGAAAGTTTGGACACGCTATCTGAAGCAGATACCGCTATAGACAAGAAAGAAATATCTGAAGTATGGAACCAATTTCCACATGTATTTGAACAAAAAACATTTCAAGAGTGGCTCAAAAACTAAGAACCTCCACTAAACAGCTCAAGTCTTCTAAGTCTACAAAGACCAGAGCCATTAGCATTTTGGAAGCTTGGATATAATATTGTCATGAACCCAAATCATGGTGAAGATCAGAAAAAATATAGCTCCATGGAGCACATTAAAAGAGGAACATAATAAACCAGAAATGAATCACTTTCTCCGAGGAGGATAATGAAATTTCTGCCAGCCAAGAATAAAGCTGTATATACAGCTTGTACTGTAATGAAACAAAGAAGCAGCTGTGGGCACTCTTTGCAGCACGGTGGTTAAGGATCAGCTCCTCAAATTTTCCCACCAATACTCAATCTGGGTCAAATGGCAGCCATTGTTCAGTCTACTGTAATCCTGAACCCTTGGAAACTCCATCCCCAAGAGAAGGGCCAGGAATAGCACCAATAATGAAACCACTGGAAAAGGAGGAGAGATGAGGGAAGGGAGGAGGGTAGAAGCAGTACCCACTATTGAGATCACTAACACCTCCAAAGGGTTAAGCTTCAAATTGTCAAACAAACATAAGGGACAACCCATCAAGAGACTGGGCTCCCATGTCACAACCACATCCACAAAAAGTGAAATTTCTGCCAGCCAAGAATAAAGCACAACCTTATACTGTAATGAAACTAGGGAGCAGCTGTGGAGCTGAACTCCACAGTAGGTAGGTCAGTTTCCAAAGTAATGTTATGGTGAGGGATCCTCACTAAGTGAGGATCACCATCCATAGTGAGGGATCCTCACTCAGCCAAAAGAAGAATGCACCAATGATTTGAGAACAGGAAAGACCTTCAGCTGAGGCCATTTGCAAAGCCTTAGCAAGGAATATGCCAGCTAGAAGTAGAAGTATGCCAGCCAAACAGATTGGACCCAATTGCCAGAAGTGATAGCACAGGGGAAAATGTCTAAATCTATCACAGTTCACATCACCGAAGCCCCAAAATTTCTCATCACCAAATACAGCACAGACCACAGTTGAAGACTGCAAAAGTCAGTACCATAAGGTGCACACAAAGTGCGTAGGAGCAACCCTATAGGTTGCTGCCCCGGAAGGTGGCGCAACTAACAGGCATCCAACAGCAACATATATCGTGCATCCATAGATGAAAAAAAAACTTGAACCCAACAGGTAAGATAAATATACATGCAGTTAACAAACTTTCATATACTATGTATGCACTGCAGACTTAATATTGAACAGAACTACTCAATACACAGAAAAAAACAAAGCATATATAATTCTACAGCCCCAGTAACTTCACTCAGTATGTGTACAGCAATTTTAAAAATATACTATTTTCTTCATGCATACATTACATATATTATGCTTGAACCTATGCATCATATATAAAATGCTGAGGATATATTATGCACACATAACATAACAGAAGATCTTTCTAAATCTTCCTAGAAGACAAGTCAATTGTAATGGCACATCTAAATGATTTGATAACATTCAAATTCTGACTTTACCAAAAATAAGAAATACAGTATTTGTGTTTGCAACAGTTCTTTTACAACGAAACCTTGGTTGATATTTCTAGAATATGACTGTCACACTACATTTGCCTGATACTGCATTGTGAATATGGTGTAATGAGTATTTTTATTATGGAAGAATGAGTTATCATGAGTGCCCTGGCACTCATAATCATTCAGATCACGGTGAAATGACTACGGTAATTTCAAACTGTATAATCCATAACCCTTTTGCTGCAGAAAGCATGTGTGATTGCCTGGCAAGCTTATACTGTATCTGATTTTGTGAAGAGCAGCTCGAGGTACAGCACTTGCACACACACAAATGAGAATAAATACCACATCCTATAATGGTCACTTAGATGCCTGGTAGATATACTAGGATGATAATAGCTGCCTTTTTTGCCTAAATGTTTTCTCTACTTTTTTTTAAATCGTTCATCATTATCAGTGCTATAATGATTAATGAGAATGCTTATTTATGATTAGAAATTTATAGCAAATTAGACAGTAACTCAAATCAATACAAGGTAAAAAATTAGTAGAATTTTAGTTTTTGTACTCTTACTAAAATATATGAAATTCATTATAGAATATTTGTTAATGATGAACTATAGTGTGTGTGTGTGTGTGTGTAATTACCTAAGTGTAATTACCTAAGTGTAGTTACAGGATGAGAGCTACGCTCGTGGTGTCCCGTCTTCCCAGCACTCTTTGTCATATAACGCTTTGAAACTACTGACGGTCTTGGCCTCCACCACCTTCTCACTTAACTTGTTCCAACCGTCTACCACTCTATTTGCGAAGGTGAATTTTCTTATATTTCTTCGGCATCTGTGTTTAGCTAGTTTAAATCTATGACCTCTTGTTCTTGAAGTGCCAGGTCTCAGGAAATCTTCCCTGTCGATTTTATCAATTCCTGTTACTATTTTGTATGTAGTGATCATATCACCTCTTTTTCTTCTGTCTTCTAGTTTTGGCATGTTTAATGCTTCCAACCTCTCCTCGTAGCTCTTGCCCTTCAGTTCTGGGAGCCACTTCGTAGCATGTCTTTGCACCTTTTCCAGTTTGTTGATGTGCTTCTTAAGATATGGGCACCACACAACAACTGCATATTCTAGCTTTGGCCTAACAAAAGTCATGAACAATTTCTTTAGTATATCGCCATCCATGTATTTAAATGCAATTCTGAAGTTAGAAAGCATCGCATAGGCTCCTTGCACAATATTCTTTATGTGGTCCTCAGGTGATAGTTTTCTATCTAGAACCACCCCTAGATCTCTTTCTTTATCAGAATTCTTTAAAGATTTCTCACATAATATATAGGTTGTATGGGGTCTATGTTCTCCTATTCCACATTCCATAACATGACATTTATTAACATTAAATTCCATTTGCCAGGTGGTGCTCCATATACTTATTTTGTCCAGGTCTTCTTGAAGGGCATGACAATCATCTAAATTTCTTATCCTTCCTATTATCTTAGCATCATCAGCAAACATGTTCATATAATTCTGTATACCAACTGGTAGATCATTTATGTACACAATAAACATCACTGGTGCAAGAACTGAACCCTGTGGTACTCCACTTGTGACATTTCTCCATTCCGATACATTGCCTCTGATTACTGCCCTCATTTTTCTATCAGTCAGAAAACTTTTCATCCATGATAGAAGCTTACCTGTCACCCCTCCAATATTTTCCAGTTTCCAGAACAATCTCTTATGTGGAACTCTGTCGAAAGCCTTTCTTAGGTCCAGATAGATGCAGTCAACCCAACCATCTCTTTCCCGTAATATCTCTGTGGCTCGATCATAGAAACTGAGTAAATTCGATACACAGGATCTTCCAGATCGAAAACCATACTGTCTGTCTGATATTATATCATTTCTCTCCAGGTGTTCTACCCATTTAGTTTTGATTAGCTTTTCCAATACTTTCACTATTACACTTGTCAATGATACAGGTCTATAATTGAGGGGGGTCTTCCCTGCTTCCACTTTTGTAGATTGGAACTATGTTAGCCTGTTTCCACACGTCTGCTACAATTCCTGTACACAGGGATGCCTGAAAGATCAGGTGAAGTGGAATGCTGAGCTCAGATGCACATTCTCTCAGAACCCATGGTGAAACGCCATCTGGGCCAGCTGCTTTGTTCTTCCCGAGCTCCTTTAGCATATTTTCCACTTCATCTCTAGACACCTCTATCCGCTCTATGTTGTTCTCTGGAATTCTTATTGTGTCTGGTTCTCTGAAGACTTCATTTTGTACAAACACACTTTGGAACTTTTCATTTAATGTTTCACACTTTTCATTTTCTGTGAATCTGTTTCCCATTTTCAACCTCTGGATATTATCCTTTACCTGCAATTTGTTGTTTATGAATTTGAAGAATAGGCCCGGTTCTGTTTTACATTTATCTGCTATCCCTTTTTCAAAATTTCTTTCTGCCTCTCTCCTTACTGCTGTATAGTTGTTTCTCGCATCTTTGTATCGCTGGTATGTTTGGGGGTTTGGCCTCTTCCTATACTGATTCCATTTTTGTGTCTTTTGGTCTCTTGCCCTCTCACAATTTCTGTCGAACCAATCCTGTTTTCTGGCCCTGCATCTCTGTTTTGGTATGAATGTTTGTGTGCCTTCCTCGTATAGTTTTAAAAATTTGGCATACATTTCATTTACTTCCCTGCCTAGCAACAATTCTGTCCAATTACACTCATTAAAAAAATTTCGAAGTTCCCCATAGTTGCCTCTCCTTAAATCGAGTTTATCAACTGTTTCAATGTCCCCATTTTCTTCTAGATGATATCTTAAAGCATATTTAATGTCTAACAGGACGTGATCACTCTTTCCCAAGGGAGGAAGGTACTGGATGTCAAAAATCTCTTCTTCTTTCCTGGTGAATACTAGATCCAGTACTGACGGTACATCTCCTTCCCTCATTCTTGTGGCTTGCTTTGTGTGTTGATACAAGAATGTCTCCAGAATGAGGTTCACAAATCTGCATGTCCAAAAGTCCTCCGTTCTTGCTTCATAGGCCTCCCAGTCTATTGCTTTAAAGTTGAAGTCCCCCAGTATCAACAGTCGTGATTTATCTTTATCTGCTTGTACAATAATATCTCTCATGACCATTATGAGGCCCTCTCGTTTGTCATCCAGTTCTTCCTTTGTCCATGTGTTGCTTGCTGGTGGGCTGTAGGTATTTACAATTATCAGCTTATCATCCTGATTCCAGACCTGCAATGCCATTATGTCAATATCTCGAGGGTTTTCAAATATTAACTCTTTTACCTTCAGGTGTTTTTTCACCAGTACAGCCACTCCTCCTCCCTTCCTAGTTTTCCTGTCACGTCTCCAAACTGAGTAGCCTCTTGTGAATATGACTTCATTTATTATATTTCCTTCAAGTTTCGTCTCTGATAATGCAACAATATCTGGGACCCTAAGCTGGATTATATCTTGCAACTCCAAAGTTTTTGACCTCACTCCATCTATGTTGGTATATACAATTTTCAGGAACATGTTCCCTTTTCCTTTGCTCTTTACTCCCCCTTCCATTACTGATCTTGTTGCTTTGTTTTTATGTACCATTTCACAAGCTTTCCAGTCACTGTCACTTTGTAAAAAAACGAATTTTTTCTAAGTAAAAAAAAAAAAAAGTAAAAAAGTAAAAAGTAAAAAGTTTTAGTAAAAGAAAAAAAAAGAAAGAAAAGAAAGAAAGAAAAAAAAAAAAAAAGAATGTAAAAAAAAGAAAAAAAGTGTGTGTGTGTGTGTGTGTGTGTGTGAAAAAAAAAAAAAAAAAAAAAAAAACAAGTATTACAAATCATTTGGCAATGATGTTTTTCAAGTGTGTATGATGATGTATATCAAGGGAACATGTGTGCTCTGGTCCCAAGTTTCTTGAACCAAGTTTTCTGTTACACAAGACATTTGTTTGATTTGCTGTGAATTTTGGTCTAGCATTTAAAATGCATAGCAAGAAAGAAAGCAAGTTTTTTCTTATTAGAATGGCATTAGGAAGGACAAAACAAAGTTACATATTCGGGCCTGATTTCTATCCTCATGGAAACAAAGGGCTTGAAAATGGTACTGCAGCAAAATAGGTTAATTCATATAATGTACCTATATGGATGTGTGGCACCAGGTGAGAAATTTGAGAAGTATATCAACTATATATTCACAAGAGTAAAATCGATATCATATATCAAATCTGATAATGCATTTCTTTCAACAGATAACAAGATGACTTATTGTGGACAAGAGCAATAATGAGACATTGTGAAATGGGAGTGGAAGAGCTATAAGCACTTAAACCATTTTAAATATATGGGAAGCATAACAGGCAATAAAAGAAATCTAGGTGGCAGTTATTAAAGCTGTGGTCACGAGAAAAAGAAAACGGAGAAAGATGTGGCTAGCAGCATTACATAAATGAGTGGCAATATGCCTCTACACTTACACAAATGCCAAAATGCTCGAGCTTAAAAAAAAAAAAAAGCATAAAAAGTGTTCAGTGATTAAGCAACGTAAAAACAGTTTAGGAGGAATTGAGTGTTTGTATAGATACGTCTAAGCGCTTTACACGATTTGCTAGGTATTGTGGAGCTGGAGTGTTTTACTAGGGATGATATCCTGGAATGTTTTACTATCAATGATATCCTGGAGTGTGTGGTGATGCTGGATGTCAGTGTTTTGAAGGCATGGCAAATAGGTAATATTTTAAATATTAGTACCCTTCTTGTTCCTATCCTACTCTCTTATCTTCTTTGGGTAAATATCTTACTATGAAAAGTGGAAATGTCATGACAAATTTGATACAAGTATGATACACGTGCACATAAGAAATATAATAGAAAGTGCTAACATGAATTTGTATATTCCAAAAATGTCTACTCCATACAAGATAAAATACCAAATATATATAGAATTAACATTATAATACCCCATTACGGTAATATCCAAAATATGGCTGTAATATGATAGTATATTATTATAGTAATAAGACACCTCAATAACATTTTAGAGTATTGTTGTACATTTACATGATTTGCTGTATTAACGATTTATATTATTGTACTGTAGTATGTAGACATTGCTTCAAGAAAAACAATATTCTGAAATGCATCGAAATTGTGTGTGATTTCGTAAGGATCGTGTCCCAATCAAATGGGAGTACACATTAATGGCACTGTAAATGTATACTGTACAAGGGGTTGGGGTTGCTGAGTAATGGGTACATTAATGACATCTGTGAGGGAATAACCACCTTTCTAGCTAGAATGGGGTATGTAAACTGTTTGGTTTAATATGTCTTCAAACAAACCTGAAAAAACTCTTTACTGAACAAATCATCAGTATTCATAGTAACATGTCCTTCACTAGTAGTACAAGGTTTAAAGAAAAGTTCAAGTTCCTGCCATAAAAGTAACAAACAATTGCATCACAAAAATACAGTGGATTCTAGTTCAAATGGAAAATCTGATGCAATGGAAGGGACTCCAATCTGGTTAGTGCCTAGCGCAAAAGAAAGAAATCCAGATCAAGAAATTCCTGCAAGATCCAAGTTACAATGCCAGGTAGACACTGTAGCACTGTCTGTTGCTGGATCTTCAAAAGGCACTAAATATCACTCAAGATGCCAATACGAGAACAACAGGATGTAAGGCGAGCCATATAAAATATATCAGATTTATCAAGGACTTTATCAAGGGACATTAGGAAAGCTTGACATCCAATCATCCTGAAAATTAGGACATCCTACAAGTAACAAAATAGGTACTATACCATTTTAATAAAATATATTTAAACTTTCCCATACAAAAATTTGCCCATGTAATCTACAAAAATTATATACCTTGAGATAAGAAGGCACTTTTTTTTGCATGATTGTTACGATACATTCTGCATCAAAGGCCTACTTGAAGAAAAAATATATATGCAATGTAACTTGGCTTACTTAGATCAATGCACGAGAAGGATATCTGATTAAGACGAGATAAAATGATTTTGAAGTACAGAATTTAATTACAATGATACCTGTTAACAGAAAACTACTTGTTTACATCCTCGGCTCACAACCGAGGATCAAAGGCACGAGCCCTGAGCAGGACTGATATGGTTGAGCGTTTCCTTTCAACTGATCCATCTATTCACTTTGCAATAAATGGGTGTCTGGGAGTTAGGGCAACTGTTGTGGGTTGCATATTGGTGAAGGTCGTCAGTAGTTGGCCTAGGGGGACCCCAATAAGGTTAACATGTTTCCAGTACATGACTGTGTGAACCATTACACAGTGGAGGTCAAGTAATTTTGTAAATGACAATTTTTCAACACTGGATATTACAGGGTAACAGAAGTGCTGCTTTTTATGATTTTAGGCGACACAGCTTATACTTTCACCACATACTGTACTATTTCCCCTTGTCTACTAGAAGTAATGTTTGTATACATCGCTGAATTTCAGCCGATTTTATTATTAGCAATCACATTATTTACTGTTTCAAACAGATGTTTAGGTTTATTTCTAAATGACTCGACTTCACACAGTACAAGATGCAACGGTCTAGTACAGGGGTGGGGAGCCGAGGCCTTTTATGGTACAGTACTTGGTGTGGCTTTCAAAAGCAATTTAAATTAATGAAACTTGACCTGTAAGTTTTGTGATATATTTTAAAGTATACAGTGCATAATACAATGTGTGGCCTTATGGCATCTTCTCCGAGTAAAATATGCTTTTCATATGATGAAAAAGGATCCCCACTTTTGGTCTAGTGCACGACCCTGTCTTTGTCGTGCACATACAATTGACATACTTAAGCTTTACATATTTCCTTGTCTGGGGAATTATAGTTATATAATGGAATTATAATAGAACATAATGGAAAGTCCATTATAATTCCTTGTCTGAGACCTTCCACCCTCTTGCCCATTACCACTTCACCAAGGGGGAGATAAAAAAAAAATTATATATAAATTCGTTTTAAAAAATTACCTCCAATACTTGTTAACAGTTGACCAAAGTACACACTAGAAATGAAGAGACGACGACATTTCGGTCCATCCTGGACCATCATCAAGACAATTATGATGAGACGAAGGAGGCAAGGGCAATAAATAGGCAAGAGAGAGGTGTGGAGATGAACATCTTAGAGGAAGATAATAGCAAGGCAAAAGGTATGGAAGGAATAATAGGAATAAGAAAGGGATCACAAGAGAAAACTACCATTATTACATGCTCTATTACACCTTACCTTCCGTACCTTTTGCCTTGCTATTATCTTTCTCTAAGATTTTCATCTCGCCTCTCTCACTCTCTCTCGCCCATTTATTGCCCTTGCCTCCTTCGTCTCATCGCAATCGACTTTATGATGGGCCAGGACAGACCGAAACGTTGTCATTACATCATTTCTAGTGCGTGGTTTGGTCAACATTTTTCAGCTACGTTATCGTGATTTCCTCTGCACTAACAGCTTTTAAAGAAGAAGAAAAAAAAAAAAAAAAAAAAAAAAAAAAAAAAGATTAAGCCAAGAAACAGCTCTACTATAGAACAATTCAAATACAGTACATCTACCTGTAATATCCTATTTCTTTGGGGAAAATATTATACATAAAGTTGTACGAGACCTCAATAACCTTCCTTACACATGCACAGTAAATATACAACCGTGCACAATCCAGGATTGTTACACTAATGTAGCGTTTTGACATGTTTCAACTGCAATAGATAACTTCACGTGCCATATATGGTGAATTACTTCAATTTACAATACAAAGTATGTATAATCAAACCAAAACCCGTACCTTTTCTTTTTTAGAGGGGAAGAGGGAAGAGGGAAGGGGGAAAGAGTTCCTTGAAATGTCTTAAAAAATGTATCAGGTACTGTACTGAGCTTTTACATACAGAATTATTGTAAATGAGTATTGCATTTTAAGGCACTTTGGATATTGTAAAATATGTTTGCAATTACAGTACTTAAAAATTATGTCTCCCTGACAATTTGCAATTTGGTTTTACTTAAACATTTCTAACCTAGAATTTTCCTTAATGACGTATATAACAAAAGTAGGTTTACAGTATCATTAACATCCAATAGGCCAAAAAATTTACAAACCTTAAATTTGGGTAAGCATTAAATTGGGAAAAAAAAAAAAAAAAAAAAAATTGGCCCAATGAAAAAAATAGTTGGCATAAACCTTCCCAAAAGTCTAGCAAGTTAATACACTAAAATTCAAATCATACTTAAATATATCCACTTTCAGAGATGATATGCAACATTCCTCCAAATACTCTTATAGCCCAGCTTGTCCTTGGTCAATCTTGTTGAATAGTTCAGCGGTAAGAACCACATACCTCTGGAGTTTACTATCAAAGAAATAGAGTTTATCTTCGATGAGGGATGGGTTAAAGCCTTCCTTCTGCAGTGTCAACTTCTTTAGTTTGAAAGTACCTGAAAAGTGTAATATAATGTAGTGATCATTGATATCAACAATACACACCTACCTGTATTATCATGTATGACTCGTGCATTCGTATGTAATATTGTTCCTGTTTTACACATTCTATTTGTGTTATATGCATCATGTATTCTTACATATTATCATGCATGATTTTTTCTTTACACATTCACCTATAACATCACAAATAATTCACACTCACCAGCAACACACATGCCTCGCACACTCACCTGTAACATCAATGTCCTTCAGTATTCTTAGGAAGAGTGGACATGCATAGGAAGGCAAGACATCCTTCAAACTCAGTGTGAAGCTGTGTAGGTCAAGCTCGTCCTCAGGGTCAACAATCGCTGCCATTCCAGCTCGGCCTTCAGCTCCCGGGACCTGACGAGTTATTTTAAACAACCGATGCCACATTCAAACTAAAAAATAATGAATAGCCTAAAGAAGATCATATTAGCCATAGCATTTTTATGTTCAGATACAGTACTCATCTACAGTATTTGATATCTTTAATTTCTCAAAGAACAAGCAATAGAGAAAAACATTTCCTATTGCACAAACATCTACTCTTCATTTTGTGTAATTAAATATTTCAGCAGACTATAAGAAAGATATGGAACTTTTTTTTTTTTTAATGTAACAAAGCCCTGGTGCAAAAATATTCCTTTTAATAACTATTGCATGCTTAAGTTATAATACCAGTCTCATGTACTGCACAATTTAGAAAGAATATACGAGGTTCAGCTCACCAATACTACTGTGGGTAACTCATAAACACTTATATTATATGGTAATAGCAAAGGCGGTAATATATATATGACATACAGTACGCATCTCTATCCATCCAAGTCCATCTACAGTAAAAATATTATGAACATACATTTATAAAAGAGAATTAAATTCCAAAATTAATGTGGAGAATCATTCTCCAATTACAAAGTCTAAACCAATTCATGTAAATTCTGCATGATTAAGTAATATGTGCATACCTCTACTCCATACACAACAGCATCTTTGTTCCCAGCCACTTTGGAGACAACTCCCTCAACCTCCGTTGATGAAACATTTTCACCACGCCAGCGAAAGGTATCCCCCGTTCGGTCTTTAAAGTACATGTAGCCTAGTTCATCCATGATCAGAATGTCACCTGTAAATATATATACATATATTTTTATTATTAACATAATAAAATTTCTAAGGGTATTTACAACAAGATTGTGCAATTGAAGATGGAACCTCCTCAAGAAAAGTACCACAGGAGGAGTCCAAAACTAGACTGGAATATGAGGAAAAGAAGGAAGTTGAGGGGTAGAAATGCCCACCGAGACGTTCAAATCCTCCCACATATACACAGCACTACTAAGACACAGAAAATTCAAGTGCCAAAAATCACACTTGACCCCCCCCCCCTCAGAGATGATAGCTCTGGTGAGGAAACTAAGAAAGCAAACTGATGCCAGGGGAAGATGACCGTGAAACAAAGTTGGGGGCAACTACTCAGCTAAGGACGCAAGATGGGGAGCAGACACAATCGCAAATCATAATGAAAAAATGTATGAGCTTCATTCTCCCCTCGCCTCCTTTAACACCCTGCATTCTGGTCTTGGTGCTCGTAAGCCTGTGTCAATCAAGAGGCCTGATTGATTCACAGATGTCTGTGGTACCAGGAAGATACCGAGGGCTAGCCCAGAAAAAAGTGCATACTGCACAATCATTAGACAGTGAGCTGTATCTACAATTTGGTTGTTGTTCTATTGTTTGGTGACAATAGTGAAGGCAGGGAAGGGCAGATGAGTACTCTCTCTTTATTGTGAATATTTCATGATTGCCTAATTTATATCTTTTACTGGGGAAACATGATCCCGGTAGGTCTGTGAACTCGGACCATAAAACAGAACTCCTTGCCAAGAAAAGTGGATACAACATTAGGGAAACCTTAAGTCTAACTTTTGCAATTATAATGCAGAAAGTAACATAGTGAAATGCTTAATGGAACTTTCAATACTTACCAGATCTGAAAGCTGTATCGCCTTTCTTCAATATATCCCTGGCAATCTTTTTCTCGGTAGCGTTCCTGTCAGCATAACCATGAAAGTCGCGCATAGGGTGATTTCTTTTGATTATGCCCACAAATTCCCCTGCTTCTCCTGTAAAATATAACGTGCTAAATATTCAATACACTACTTGCTATAGGCAATCAAAGTTTATTAAAGCTAAACTAAAAAGCAATATTTCCATTATTGTACAAAATAATTTGTAAATTTCTACTGTACATATCGTTTATCATTATCCTCTATACCTATAAAATACAGTAGAATGTCTGTGTCTCTCTGTTTATCCAAGGTTAGAGGTCAGTTACTTGGAGCTAGCCTCATTAAACTTTGCAGGGTGACTGGTGTGTGCTAAGGGACTATCATAAACAGGTTGAAGTCGGTCACATTGCCACAGTTAATGGTAGTCAGCTCCCATGATGACCCCATGATGATGGTGTAGATAAAATGTTCGGCACCAAATCCATAAGCATCTTTTATGTTCATAATATTACAGAATTTAGAGGTTGACATGGAAAACACATGTTCTGATGGCAGATTTACATTCTGGAGACTTCAAACACTTAAAGGGTGAAACTTTTTGGGGTCAGTCCAGGCAGTGCCAGGTACCCCATCTAGTACGATATATGTGGGTATGCCAAAGTCAAGTCAGTTCATTGAATTGAGGTGACTGGTTATACACACATCGTGTTGCATGTAACCAAGGTACTACATGTTCAATGACGAAATCGTAATAGGTCATCAAGGTTTAACTGTTCTTTGGAAACTCATGTCTTTACATTCATTCAAGAGAAGATGAAAGAAATTCCTTTTCATAGATTTCATAAATACATTTTACATAAATATAGATATAACACATAACCTGTACAGTAATCTCAAAAATCTCTTGTGAGGTCTGAATAATACTTACCAGGTTTGCATAAAACACAGGTTCCATTCTTATTTCTGATAGGTTCACCAGTTTCCTCATCAATCTTGATCAAGTAGGCAGGGAAGGCGTGACGGAACAACACCGACACAAAGCCACACGAGCCTGGCTTACCCTCAATGTTCACTGGAGGTGAGATACAAGATAATATAATAGACCTTTATTAGTAAAAGTCTCAAGCATCTCAACAAGTAGATAATCACAATGAAAAGCTAATTTAGATGAAATAATTTCACACAACTGATGAATATATGAAAGAACAAAAAAAAAAAAAAGAATATTAAAAATTTATGAGAATTTATAACCTAGACAATATTACTGTCCAGTAATCTCTGTGTCATTTAAATAGTCATAAGTTTATACTGCTAGTATCCCTGAATACTGCACAATGTCAACAACTGAAATTCTTGAGCCCCGGCATGCACCGGGGTCGAGGTTGAAGTCGAATATTATGACAATATCATGAGGAAGGTTGAACCAATAAGTACAACCCAAATGAAGATGGCTTCTACAACATTTTACAATAAATATCTCATCCAGGCAAGGGAAGCCTTCAATCCACAACCTTAGCTGTTTGTTTTGTTTAACAAATTAAGATGGTTTATTAATGTAAAAATAATGTCTTCGGGTTTTTCTGGGGTGTAACGGTAGATCTCTCCCACACCATGAGCAACCTGTTAAGAAATGTTTGGATTTACCTGTTTTGTTATTAATAAAAAGTCAACTTTCCAAATGAAATGGGAAATACAGTATCATATACAGGTGCCTGTGATAAACCAATTGTATCTTTCACAGGAAAAATACACTGTGTTTTCATTTGCACTGCAACCCTTCACTAAAGAACTGTTTGGACCATGCCTCCAATGCACTAAAATCATCCATAATTCATATCTACCACTAATACCAACCCCAATACACATGCAGCAAGGCCTTAGAGGCATTAAAAATGAATGTGGGTAAGAATTGTAATTTTTTAGTATGAATGTGGGTAAGAATTGTATTTTTCAGTATGAATGTGGGTAAGAATTGTATTTTTCAGTATGAATGTGGGTAAGAATTGTATTTCTCAGTATGAATGTGGGTAAGAATTGCATTTCTCAGTATGATTGTGGGTAAGAATTGCATTTCTCAGTATGATTGTGGGTAAGAATTGTATTTCTCAGTATGATTGTGGGTAAGAATTGCATTTCTCAGTATGATTGTGGGTAAGAATTGCATTTTTCAGTATGATTGTGGGTAAGAATTGTATTTCTCAGTATGAATGTGGGTAAGAATTGTATTTTCAGTATGAATATGGGTAAGAATTGTATTTTTCAGTATGAATGTGGGTAAGAATTGTATTTTTCAGTATGAATGTGGGTAAGAATTGCATTTTTCAGCATGAATATGGGTAAGAATTGTATTTTTCAGTATGGACATGCAAGTATGACATGCAGTACAAGTAAACTTCTCATTGAATGTTTCTTAAATAATTAGCATGGTTTTATAAGATATAAAAGTTACTTTTAACCCAACAGACTGTGCTGTAAATACTTACTAATATTGGAAATGCTCTCAGTAGCTCCATAAAACTCGGCAATACAAGGCATATTGAAACGAGAAGTAAACTGGTTCCAGATCTGAGCTCTCACACCATTACCAAACATAACTCTGACCTGATAAGTTCACGAAATGTTAGTCATATAACCAATAAGTATTTACAAGTTACCTGGAATGTTTAATAACATTTTTAAATCCAAAAACCTTTCAGCAAAGATGTGCAGAGAATGCCACAATAGTGTGACTTAAATAACTGAACCTACACACATGAAATTCAACAAGTGACAACGTTTCAGTCTGTCCTCAACTCTTATTAACTCTTGACAACCTGATCCAAATTCAAGAGGGACTGAAATGTTGTCATATTCATTTTATGTGCTGCATTGCAAACAACCCAAACAAACAACCCCAGACAGGAAAGTTGACCTTAAAATGGGTCTACATGCCACCAATTGCGAACCAGAAGTACCCTGCACCAAAAGGCATCAGCATTATGTTATATACCCAGAATTACAACATTGCTCACTAGTACTACTCATTCTGCACATGCATTTACAGGTATTTTCAAAACAAAACATACTTATCTGAAATCATTTTGTATTTTTATTTTTTATATAAGATAGTTCCTGGAAAATAGACAGGGAAAATAGAATGTGCATATGTTTATGCGGCCAATATAAACCAACAGGAAATGAAAAGATGAAAAGCTTTTTACCTTATGCTGCGTGTCCTCAGGCTTTTCTGGGGTGTTAAGGAGGTAACGGCAGATCTCTCCCACATATTGGGCAACCTGTTAAGAAATGTTTGAATTTACTTGTGTTTTTAATTAACAGTAAAATTAATGAAGGATGCTGTGCAAAGATAACCAAAGATAAGTGTACTTGCAACACTTACAATATGTAGTATGTAGTGCCACATCTACAGGCACAGAATACGACTCCATACTGGTGCAGTGTTCCAGTCATAAAAGTAGGTTAAGACCAGTTCAATCCAAAAATACTAATGGGTTTTGATCAAGCAGGCCATATAGATGCTGGACCAGAACAGTGATGAGAATTGACAAAGATTTTAATAAAATATGGAACTTTTTCCATAATAAAGATAAGGCTTAGCGGTTACAGTAATACTGAAAGTGCAATTCCGAGCAGATAATTTGGCTGCTTCGTAAGATTTGATTTTCCAAGTCCATCGGACAGACTTACACAGTCAATAAAACACTTAATAATGCAAACTTGTTTCTCAAAATTAATAGTAAATACATCACCTATTATATTGCCAAACTACAGTAGCACATAAGGAAACTTTAGATATGTCTCAAGTATTCTTTTAAACATCTAACATCTGAAGGCAGCTGCAAGATTAGAGGGAAAATTTAACTCAAGGCCATTGCCTGCATAATAATCAAGTAAAATAAGATATTGAAGACATGGAATGATTCAGTTGCAGCACTCAAGATTTCAAATTAACAGAAGGACTCAAATTGGGAATTAACCAATACCTAATGCTAACACTACCTTACAGCATTTATGCTGAGCTTTTTTTCACATTAAACTTGTGATGTACGGTATATTTAAATTTGTTGAAAATAATAAATTTTAAACCATTAAGTGGATCACTTACAGTGCAGCCATATTTCTTGGATTCAACCCAGTATTGTGAGGCGGAGAACTTGCGACGTATCACTGCAGTATTGTTATAGATCAACACCTGTCCCAAAAAAATTATTTAATCATATTAAAGAGAGGAAGGATAATCATAATATTTAACTTGGCAGAGAAGCAATCCAATAGCACTGTTTTGTAAAGAACTTTCATGACAGACTTTAATTCTACACACAAAACGTTTGCCCAACAATATATATAAATCAGCTATTCTCGAGCGATCACACTTGGATGCTCCCTAACGAAAGATTTTCATTGGACTGGATCATTCTCAGAATAATCCTGATAACCACAGTGGCTGGACACTTTCTTCATTCTGTTTTCGTATCCCTTTCAGGTGCTATATAGTCATATTGGCTTAGCACAAACTCCCCATAATTACCTCATCTTATCTCAGTCAAGCAATATGAGACAAATGTTTGGAACAAATGCTATAAGTAACTTTTCAAATAGTTCCTCCAGGGACATTTTACAGATGCTTGGGAGGCACTGGACTGATAAGATTTAAATTCATAAAAAACCTCAAAGCACTTTTGTACCCCTTTCTTATCATTACAGGTGATTACAAGGACAAAATTTACCAGTTGACCTACCTGGTGGCAGCTCCACACACAAATCTGGGTTAAATGACCAGAGCAACGTCACATTTCCTCCATTGCTACTCTAACCCTGTTTGTAGAGCATGTTACTTTGTATTTTGTTGCCTTCTCATGCTCCGTTGGTCCTGTTTGGCCTCTGGACAAGTCTTCTGGTATAGTTATGATTAGCCAAGCCTCATGTGTGCCTATATAGGCCTTCTAGACATTGGTATACTTTTGAACTTCTAGCAAGTGAATTCTAGAGTAGATTACTGTTGTGAACTAATAGTTCCCTAAGGCCTTCTACTTGGGTCTTCAGGAGGTAGCTTTGGACAAGATGGTGATCTCCCTATAGCTCTGCCATTCTACTGCACAGATAAGTCTACCTTCTATTTATGTAACAAGGCTTCAAACGAATGTGAAAATCATTTTGAGAAGATCAACCAGCTGCTCTCAGGCCTTTCCTGCTTTTCTCATCTGACAGTTCGTAGAATCAGTCCTGCCATCAGCTAGTAAGTGAGGTTGCTCAAGTCAGGTGACCCACAGATGTATGTGCATGGTGATGCTGCCTGGACAGTGTAGACAGCCAGGCAATTAGTGAAGAGAATCTAGTAAAATATATACAATTGTATAATAATGTTATGTTTATACCATTGCAAGATAGATGAAATACTGTAGTAATATAGTTTTAATATAAACATTAAAATCATTAGAAAAACAATTCTTCACTGACCTGGCCCATGCCAACCATACCACCAGCTGAATGATAGAGGGGAAGTGGGTTATATATAACTTCATCTTCTCCCAGGGCAATCATATAGTGAACACCAGTACAAAAGAACAGATACCTGTAAGGAAGCAGAAATAATACAAAAAAATTAATACAAGCATACAATAATAAATTTCTTTGCAATTTCATCGGCAACCAATGAAACAAATTATTTAATTATCTAGTTAGGCTTAAAAGCTTAACTTGAGATGATCACTGACCTATAATGTTTGATGATAGCAGCCTTGGGCATTCCTGTTGTTCCAGATGTATAGATGTAAATAAGTTTGTCCTTGGCAGACACCGAGTCTATTTGAGGTGGCGGGGTAGGGTTTGAGGCACATAACAGAGAATCTAAATTCTTTGCCCCTAAAATGAAAAAGTCATAAAATTAACTTGTATGTTAAAAGTTTTATCTACAGATCAAAACCCAAATGTTCAATATACAATACATTATATCAATTACTCATCAACTGCCAGGAATGTAAACAATAACGAATACAATATTGATGCTACCATATACCGAGTCTGGTGTTAGGTAGAACATAAACGGAGTGTGAGCCTTGAGCTACTCACCTTCCAAGGAGGGTGCTGCAGTACCACAACCCGACACATACACTGGCAAGTTTACCTCCTCTCTGATGGCGTCAGTTGCTGTACAGGTTGCATGCAGTAATAAGTATACTTATACACTTGAATTGTTATATTTTTCTTATATCAAGAAAGAGCAATCATCTATTTATACCTCGTAATGCAAGGGAAATAATATTTAAAGCTCCAGGAACTCCCAATTTTCTCTAAATAGTTAATATATTTTAAGTGCATTTAATATCATTACCTTTATTATCCTTTTTACTAGCAATCTTCATTATCTTCCCTAAAACTGCATTTATCATTTACAGTACTATACCATATAATTATATGAACCTAAAAACAAAATAAAATTTAAACTTTTGGCCTATAAACATTTATTAACACATTTTACTGATAAAATCTACAATTGTATTACCATCTTGTAAATCCTCGCCACAAATAATGGCCTTTGAATCAGCGACTTTAATTGAATGGATTAAGGGCAACTGTCGCAAGTTAAAATTGATCAGAGCTGGAACAACTCCCACCTGTGAAAGACGAGTTCAAATTAATAAATATTTCATCCACGTATAAATATATACATACATACATATATTTTTATTTAACTCTAGATTTTTAAAATCTAAGTCTTTAGACATCAATGTACGAACAAGAAAGCAGACTATAAAACACTCGAAATGAGAGAGAGATAATGTAAGCAAAGAGAGAATAAGAACTACAGTATAAACAAAAATAATTAGAAGTCAAGACAATGAAAACATTAAGAGAGAGCAGACCACAAAGTATTTCCAGTTTATTAACATGGGAAACAAACTAGGAGTCCCTAACAGGACAAACAATAGAAGGAAGGAAGGAATTATCAAGGGAAAGCGCCAAGCCATTATGACTACAGTACTGGGAAGGGGTCAGGATAAGGATTTGGGATGGGACGGGGAAAGGAATGGTGCCCCAACCACTTGCACGGTCGGGAATTGAACGCCGATCTGCATGAAGCGAGACCGTCGCTCGACCGTCTAGCCCAAGTGGTTGGGTACAAACAATAGAAATTTAAATCAACATCACATTATCCTCCAAAAAATCCACGGTAAGCAAAGTTCTCCAATTAGGCCTACTAAATGTCAACAAAATTCGTTTCGACTAGTCAATGGCTGATTTTCTTTTACCAAACATATTATTATTTACATATACATGCGTCTATTAAAACAAATACAAACATAACTGTTCACTTCAATATCTTCAGTTATTATGAAGAAGCCAAACACCTCATTATTAATTGGGTTGCCATGAAAACTAATTAATATTACATACCATCAAAAGCAATAATCTTAAAACTTATAACAGGACAATATATAAAACACTCAACCCAAAATTTAATCAACAAGTTAATATTATTTTATTTCAACTTTAGATTTGTAAACCTTATGCGCAAAGGTTTAAATTAGGTAGTACTTCAAAAACAGTCCTATAACTTATAATAAAAAAGACCACCATTTTATATAAAGTGTATACACAGTGCACAGGTAACTCACCTTTGCACACCCCAACCATATGCATACATATTCTGGCCGATTGTGCATAAACAATGCCACAGTGTCCCCGTGTTTGTAGCCTTGCTCCACCATGAAATTACCAACACGGTTGCTGTACTCATCCATCTGGAATTATATGCTCAAAATAAGTGGCAACATACAGTTGGACAGAATGAATAAGATGAGCAAGAACCCTCAATATGCACAGCACATATTAAAAATAAAGAGTTTCCTTGAACTGAAATTACTGGGTACATATTTTATTGGTTCATGTGCCGGCATGAATGTTAATGTGGCAGAGATGGAGGGATGGAATTAGCATTTTATGTGGCCAGAGTAGTATAGGCATGCCTCAGCTTGTAGTGTAATGCTTGAAGTAAACTTTTTTTGCACATCTTTCTGGTTGCTAGAAAACTGTGTAACATATGGGATAGATTTGTTATGCATAGTGGCCTGTGTCTCAAGAGACTGTGATGTACACAAAGTCCTTGACTTGTGAATGTATGCTGTTTAATTATTGTTAATTTAATGCATTTAATACAAATATTGGGCTACACTTAATATTACACACACACACAACAAAGCCAATACGTCTCATTCACCAGGAACATCAACCAGAGTAGAATACCTATACATAATGCTGGCTAATATGGTGCTTAATCCAGCTTAATGATAATCGTCTAGCATAACTTTGGTACAAATATCGATTTGATTTTTTGTCATATTATTTGCTTTCACAACTTTTTTGCTATTACCACCACATCTACCATCTTTCCCATTTCCATGGGAAGAGGCAATAAGGTAATTATTAGATGAAAGCACTGAGCCATTATGACTATAGCACTTGGGTAGGATGAGGAGGTATTTCATTACAAATGATGTGACTCGGAATTAACATGCATCCTCTTGTACAGTTTTGAACAGTAAAGTAGCTTCATGTGAAACTACTATGAACACAAACTAGTCGACTGATCAACGTTTCGGGCACCTGAATACTACCATTCCCACAATATAGTCAATAGCATGGCATTCATATACCTAATAATGGAAAGTATCCAGGGCGTGACTACTAAATCATTTGCTTAAATAACATGGATTATAGTACTTTGGTGAACAAGATGCCTACTTATTTCCTGAATCGGCTCCAGATATACAAATCTAATGTAGAGAAAATTCAATAACGCTCTACATGACACATGCAATGTCTCTACTTGCACCTCTGCATTTATTATGAAAATCAATTATCACCTATTCAATGCATTGGTTAAAATTGTGTATTGTGTTAACAAAGTCTTGTATAAACAGCACAGTGATGAGAAAACATGTGTTAATAATTCCCAAGTAACAGGAGATTATTACAAGCTTTTCAAGTGGTATTACTGTGGCTCTTGCTGAGCAGAGTGCAATGTAACCCACTACAGTTGCTTATGGAAAATGCAAGCAACACCAAAACTGTTAAAAACTCAATTATTCTCTCAACAAATTACTTCCACTCAGCCCATGTGGCCCCCACCTGTATACTGACAAAAGAATTATATTTCATATGAAATCTAGAAATTGTTTTCTTATTTAAACAATATGAAACAAACCTGAGCAAATGTCCATGTCTGACCTTCAAATATAAGTGCAACTTTATTGGGATTCTTCCTCACATTCTTCATGAAGAGCTTTGGGACAGTGGTGTTGCGGTAAAGAGCCCATTTAAGTGTTAACTGCACTTTAACAAACCTGATTCCACCACTGAAATGTAAGAAATATTCATAAATTTTAAAAAGAAATTTTGCTTCAAATTAAAAAACAAATCTGCACTATTCAAAGTAAAGATTTTAAATTATGACAAAATAATAATAAAATATTTTGTAGTGAAAAAGGCTAAGAATAAGATCTGAAAAATACTTTTACTCAAGATGGCAATTAATGTAACAAAACAAATAAGATATTATTAAAAGGAGGGATAGGAAAATACAAAAGCATAATAAATCACTGTACATTGCCACTTACACTTACTGTCTAATAAAAAATAGCAATCCCCATGGCATTGCTCACTAGTTGCCCCTTGGTCTCCCCCTCGAAGCAATGCCACAGGCAATGTCCAAACATATTCACATTTGTCCACCATTTTTTCTAGATGACTGCAGTGCCTTTTGTCGGTATATCATCATTTTCCCCATATTCTTACCTACCGTACCAATCTTACTTTTCTGTTCCTTAAATTCTAGTAATGTTTGCTTTCAATATACGGTATATAAATTGTTTTACTTTGCTACCCTCTTGGCAAAATGATCCCATCAGCCAAAGACTAACTTATGACTGAAATCAATAGATGAAAATTGCATTGTATACTCTTTTGTTGAGTATATTCAATTACAGTACCTGTGGATAAAAAATAATTAAAAATATTTGTATCTCCATATAAAATATGCAAACATAAGAAGTTGAAATTAACAAACACTTCTGCTCACACTAAGTCTCTGGGGAGAGTCTTGTAGGCAAGCCAGAGGGTGTAGTAGCCACCAGTGGTTATGTAGATACTGGCAGCCACAAGCGCCAGTTGTAGACAACCGAGTCTTGGTAGCATGATGCTCCCTATGGAAAGCCCTTGCTTCCCAGCTGCCCAAAGGGCACTGGTCACACCAATGATGACTGCAGTTCTCCACATCACTTTAAAAAGAAAATCTAAATTAATCATGCAAAACAAATTGCAAATGGAGGTCTCCAATACACAGCCTTCACAAAGAATATAAAAGTTATACTGTATTCCCTGTATTTGTTGATAGTGTGTTGAAACACAAAAATGTTCGGAATTTTCATTTAGTTTTCCTAGTGGATACTTATGCATAACCGAATCACGTGTTTTTGTAATTATTCTTGGAATATATATATACTGTATATATATACACACACAATCTGAATGTCGATTTTATGAGTAAACGATCTTCAAATCAGATTACAGGCCAATTACTATAAATCTAATTATAAAAGAAAACAATTGATACAGAAGAATAAACCCTAAATGTATTGTAGTGTACAGTATACATAAATTAAACTGTACTGTACATGCCAATACTGTAGTAACTAACACAGTGACATATTATACTACAGACTATTGTCTGATCTTTCTTAACATAGCTCTTTATGTCATTAGTCATGGTTCAACAAATATTAACATGCATTTCCCAGTAAAACACTTGTCTCCTGCCTTCCCCTTAGAAAGGCCCAGTCATACCAGCACCCACTCCCGAGAAAGGCTCGGCTTGTACCAAACCATCATACCCTATACTGCACTTTGCAGGAAAATTGAAACACTCAGTAAACAGTAGAAGCCAGGTGGAGACTACTGGGATCGTCAATATTATAGCCAACACTCTTCAGACTTTTGATCTTATCTCTTGCCACTTAAAACACATTTTGCTCTATGATCATCATAATTTAAAACAAGACCCGAGAGTTGACTACAAACATTAGGTAGTAGTGCCATCTAGAAAAATAACCTGGATTAAATAAACATATACAGTATATAAATGCATTTAAAATAAGGTAGTGCTTGAATTTTAAATGTTCCTAATTTATTTTTAGCTGTCATTCCCATACTTTATATCCACCTCTTTATCTCTGATGCTGTACTCTAGAATCACCTTAAAAAAGAACTGCATGATAAAAATTCTCCATATTTATTAATGATTTTGAATGTTATTTTCCATTTGAATATTAAATGAATATTTAAGTGAAATGAAACAAACCGGTAAATGTATTTGAATTAGAAAATATGAATGCATGGTGTAATTCAAGAAGTAACATCATCAGTTGAGAGTATGAGTGCTGATAAGAATCCCAATCAGCTAGCAGACACTAAACTGCTTATCCAATGAAGATCTCTTGATTCCGGAGCCTTGAACCATGTCACTCTCGCACCATCTTACTGATAATTAAGGAATGGCAACCTTCCCCCCCTCTTCACTCTTTTCGTGGACAAAAATGCACACAAACATCAAATTTAAAGGCTTAAAATTGATTCAATTTGTTCTTTTGTTTTCAGGTGGATGTACAATTCTTATACTGTAAGATGAAATCTACAAAGTTGCATTTTTGTTATAAATATTGTCCGAACACTGGTAGCAAACTCATCCTGTTTCTAATGTATAGATTAAAAAACAAAGTACTGTACGTACCTCTAAATCAAATAAATGCTTTTGATGAATGCAAAACTCTGCTACCTTGTATATAAAATAGACCTTAAAAATTGACAATTCCCAAGGAACGATACAGGGAGCAGTGAAAACTAAATTTTACTACTGTAATACGAAAAACAAAGAATAATGTTCAGTAAAATCAAATCTTAAAATTCAGTAGTTCCCAGAAATGAGAAGCCACAATGTGGTACCACAATAACAGGCAATTCACACACACACACACTAGTATGTGTGCTAGTTAGGGGCTGAGAAGAAATAAAGCAGTCGCACCTAATGGAATTTCACCTTGGGTGCTGTGAAAATGTGCAACTGAGCTCAGCATTCCACTCCAATTTATATTCCAGACATTTTTGTGTACCCTGTACAGCAATCTTAGCATATATATGGAAAACGGCAAATATAGTACCAATCTATACAAATGGTAGTAGAGAAGAACCTCTAAATTATAGACCCCTATCATTAACAAGCAAGTTCAATACAATAGAAACCAATAGTGTAATGACATTATAACGAAGAAACAGTATGGTTTTCGAACAGGAAGACCATGTTTAACACCTCTACTTAGTTTTTAAGATCGAACCACATACTGTAGATGCTACAGGAAAGAGGTGGTTGGGTTGACTGTATATATTTGGACCTAAAAAAGGCCTTTGAGTCTCACACAAGAGGCTGTCCTGGAAACTGGAACATGCTGGAGGGGCTTACACACCAGCCCCCGGCCCCCACACACCAGCCCCCGGCCCCACTCATCAGCCCCCGGCTCACACACCAGCCCCCGGCCCCACTCATCAGCCCCCGGCTCACACACCAGCCCCCGGCCCCAGACACACCAGCCCTCGGCCCCACACACCAGCCCCCGGCCCCACACACCAGCCCTCGGCCCCACACACCAGCCCCCGGCCCACACACACCAGCCCCCGGCCCACACACTAATACTAGTGCCTCCAAACACGAGTGCCACCCCCTCCACAGAAATTAAAACACAAAATCTATCCAATCTGTGCTATTTACACCCGTCTGAGGAGGTGACAGGCAGTGAAGACGGTTCTAGCGCGAGGAGCCAGTGGTGCCGGCGAGCATGTAGCCCTACGGGGATGAGTAAGGTGCTGAGCAAGGGTATGGGAGCGGCTAGCAACAAGACTCACCCGTGCCCGTGAATTACTCCTGGGTAATAAACACCACCGGACTCATGGTGCTCATAATCCGGATTGTGTCCCCCCAGCGGCTGTGTCCCCCCCCCAGCGGCTCTACACGAACGGCCTCACCCTGGCTATTTTTTTTTTACCCTTGGATAATTGCAAAAATAAAATATAAATTGAGTTGAAGAGCTAATGTCGCGAAAACATCCATTATATAACTATCTACATACTTGAAGTTTGAACTTATAGCTAGATTTTGATCTACAATGTGTAATCTTTCACATACCTGCACCAAGACTGTAATATTTTGTTGAATTATCCGTGATATTTTGTTGAATTATCCGTATAACTAGGTCATAAAAGTATTTGTGTACGTCTGATACCATACCACTTGTGAAGGAGGAAATGTACATGTTTATCTCTCAGAATGTTTGGTAACAGGTTTATTGTTTGTGATGTGTGTCTATGTATGTACTAACACATTGTACTGAACGGGGTGAGAATAGCTTGAGCTACCTCATCCCTTTGTGTGTATTTTACCTCAATAAACTTATTTCAATTTCAATTTCAATTTCAATTTCACATAGCATAGGGTGGCAGCACATTGCTGTGTATACCTAAGTTTGTTAATAAAAAATAAACGAATAAAAAAAGGTTGAGGTTTTGTTCTCAATAAATATTTGTAGGCTATAATTTTCTAGTCACATTTATTCAGCATATTGATGGTTGTACGTATGCCCGAAACGCTATGGTATTAGTGTATTATATTGTATGTACTAGCTCTATCTATAAATCCAACAGTATGTTTGTAACTCTGCATCTATGTATGTACTTTTCCTAAATAAAATGTTATTATTATTATTATTTATAAATGTTGCATAATAAAAATGAAGCGCTGTGTCTAATTAGTCGCTTTATATAATGTATATATACTGTATATTATATGAAGCTACTAATGATATACACTGTAGCATTTTTTTTTATATATTATATTAGAGGTAGGCACGTTTTCCTCCGGAGACAAGGATCAGCTGTTGTAGTGAAAACAACAACAGGTACTTGCTCTCGCCTTCCCAGGGCGATTTTTATTGTAAAATACAATTATCTATTGTATTTTTCATGACTCCTTTGTAATATGAGCATGACTGCTTTGTGGTCTCATCTTTTGAGAATTGAATGATTGGCAATATAGTATTCACTTTTATATTTTTTAGATTTGCTGCGAGCCTGAATAAGAGGAGCCATGGCTGGGAGGCTTTGGCGAGAAGCAGCAACCCTCATTATTGTCAGTCGCTCATCTCAGCTCAATGTCAAGGTGCAGCCATGACCAATTAGTATTTCTCATTGCATCATAGATGTAAATAGTATAGGAGATTTAGCTACTCTAAATTTATATACTGTAGTCAGAAAGGAATGATGTACAGTACTGTGTAATTTATCTGCTGCAGCAATGCTTATTCATTTATCTGCTGCAGCAATGCTTATTTTTTTTTTAGAATTTGTTATTCATTCTTGTATCTTTGGTTAGCATTCATTAACTTTTCAATTTCAAATCTTTCAGAGACATGGATTTTCTGATACAGATTATCAATTGCTCCTTCTTAAACGTAATCAGAAGAGCTCCTTCATGCCAAGTGCTTTCGTTTTTCCTGGTAAGTTGTACAGCTCTGTTATTTGTCAAGTTCTGTATCACAGAGATGACTTCCAAACTAATGCACATGTTGTTAAAAGTATTTACTGTACTGTGTATTCTTTCAGTCTTTATGGAAATTATTGGTAAACAAAAATTTTCTCTTGTTTTTTTTAACTTGCAGGTGGTGTAATTGATTCATCTGATTTTTCCCAAGATTGGCTGGATGTATTTAAAAGATGTGGATACACAGCTTCTGACCTTTTGAAAGAATTCAGGTATTGTAGTTAACATTTTAAAGAATTCAGGTATTGTAGTTTCCATTTTATTTTCAGTACCTACTGTAGGTATGTTTCGAAATGCAAATATTTTCTCATCAGGATTTCTTCATGTTTCGTACTGTTACTAGAGTCAGTGTTTGTTATATTTACTGTATTCTTTCTCCTTGTATTTAATCTTTTCTATCCAGTTATTTTTATGTTGATTTTAATAAACTTGCTACCCTTTGTCCCAGGGTATAAAAATACAGTACATTATAGTATTGTCATTAAGTATTTATGCAAGTGCTGTACTAATTTGTAGTAGTAAAGGAGGAAACTATCAGGGGGAAAGCACCAAGCCATTATGACTATATGTATAGCACTTGGAAGGGGTCAGGATAAGGATTTGGGATTGGACGAGGGGAAGGAATGGTGGCCAACCACTTGGATTGTCGGGGGATTGAACGCCGATTTGCACAAAGCGAGACCATCGCTCTTAAGTTGCCCAAGTTGGTTGTAATAGTAAGTGACAACAAATTTACAAAAAGTCCATCAACTTTTTTCTGTAACATTTGATAATATTTACCCGATTCATGACAAGATTTACTATTAGTGTCTGCAGAATCGAGCTATTAGCTCTTGGACCCCACCTTTTTAACCAATGTATTTTTCTTCTAATATATCTACTACATATACTTCTCTCTAACACTCGTGTACACACACACACATCCCAAGGAAGCAGCCTTTAGCAGCTGTCTAACTCCCAGGTACCTATTTACTGCTAGGTGAACAGATGCATCAGGGTGGCCATTTGTTTCTGCCTCCACTGGGAATCGAACCCAGGCCATTAGGACTGCGACCCCCAAGGGTTGTCCACGCGGCTGCTAGGCTTTCCCTGAGGACAAGTGGTTTGTGCTGTATGTTTAAACATTTGATGCGTTGAATTACTTCTCAGAGACTGAGCTTGTCTAGAGTTGTCTTGCCTAGAGTGTGTGAATGAAAAATAGGTTGTCTTGTAACTTAAATGAGGGGTGGAAGTGGCCCTATTTCTAACCTATCTTTGAGAACGAGTGCCTAAGTCATTCCATATACTTGTACAGTACAGTACTGTATATGTATTGTAGTTATTATTCCTCTAGTTTATAAATGAATACTATTTAACACATGATTCTATTAAAGGGAGGCATTCAAATTGTATTGCTCAAAATTATTCCTACTTTCCAAAATCTAATTGCACATCTAAAGGGTTAATGTAATGTACAGTGTAGTTCACTTTCATTTGAAATATTGGTTGATACATATACTGTACTGTATAATGATTTTCCAGGGGGTGCTGCTTCTAATGCTGTATTTTCTCCTGTATAAAAACCAGAAACAAAGTTGATACCTATTATACTCATATTTAGATATTGATGCACTTCACCATTTCAACAGACATCAATCACCCCTTCCAGAGTTTTATGCAAACAAGCCAGCTCACTGTATCCTACCAGAGGTTGGGTTTAGGATTGGAGCCATTCGAGAAACGTTTGAAGAGAGTGGTATATTACTTGCAAGCCACCTACCTGGAAATCCTTTCGAGCAACGTGATTTGGAGCAGTGGCGCACATCCGTTCACAGAGATCCCACTCGGGTGAGGACTAGGTGTCCACACCATACCTTAAAGCATAATGAGATCACAGTTACGTGATTTATCTATTGAGAAACTATTGAGACCATATGATGGAATCAAACATGCATCCCTGAATTCTTTAGGTGTGAGGGTTTGATCCCATCATACAGCTTCAATAGTTTCCCATATATTGAAGGTTTTATTCTGCTTTTATTTCTTGTTTTTTTTTTAGTGTGTACTAATTCCTGGATTATGCTTTTATAAATTAGGAGACTAGTGGTCACTTAACTAATTTTGCAATGTTTAAATGGGCTTTGTTGCTGGACACATTATAGACTTTGCCCACAATATATATTTGCTTTGCACACCTTACTAAGCCTGCATTTGGCTTGAGATTTATTAAATAGAAAAATATGTGTTTTATAATACAGTTTGTCCCAATTGAAGAGAAGAAAATGCTCATTTCCAAATGCAATAGAATCTTGTATGCCAGTAAGAGCAGTCAGTATAAAGCAGGCACAATGTTGTGTACCAGGAAGAGCAGTCTGTATAAAAGAAGTACGGTAGTGTACGAAGAAGGAAAGTAGGTGTCGGTACTAATCATTCAATCCTCCATTGCATAATCTTCCACTTACATTTATATTTTCATTATCTGCAGATTTTCAATGGAATTAATGGACATCCTCTTCCCCCCCTCTCTCTCTTTACAGTTTATTAAATTATTTCAAGAGTTGGGTGGGTGTCCAGCAGTGTGGGACCTCCATGAATGGATGGGTTGGCTCACACCAACCCATACATTCGTACGCAGATTTGACACGGCGTTCTACATCACTTTTATGGATACCATTACAAACGTTACCACTGATGATAATGAAATTGTGGGTCTTGAGGCAAGTTTGATATTGTAAAGTTTAAATACCACATTGGGAAATATGATTTTGCTTTATGAATACAATTCTTTTTTTCCACCAATGCAGTTTTATCAATGTTGTCAATGCTTGAGGCTTCATCCATACCAAGTTTGATTTTGTTAAAGACACTTGTAATTTATTGAAGTACTGTATACTGGATAGTTGGAACAGTTGAAAGATCACTTAAAGTCTGGGTGAGTGGAGAAATAATAGTAATGCTGTGTATGCACAGCCTGTATAAAGGATTGTAGTTGGTTTCTTTTGTTTTGCTGTAACCTTTTTCTTTTGTTAGCATAAAATACATGTACAGTACAAGAGTAAAGCTCAAGGCATCATCAGCTGATGAATCGGGAAAGTGCATACAGTAAACTATAATGATGTATGTTAGCTTTATAAATAGGTTTGTTCACTTTTTCCTTGCTACTGTATATATAAGGTTATGAAAGCTTTTGTGATTTTAGATGACATGCACTGTGCCAGGGAATTTATAAAATGGTATAATTTTGTGGTATGGCAAAGTCTCGCTATATATTTATTATACGCCACCATGGTATTTGTGCTATTAAATTTAAGTTTCCTTCAACCCTTTTATATTTCTTCATTTTCCAAAAAAATTGCCATTATATAAAACCATATACAGATCATGTAAGTCAACGGTCAACCTTCTGGCAGTGCTAGGCAATATTGGTCGACTCACAAAAGGCAGATAGAGGATGCAATAATCAACTTGTGTCCATGTGCCTAAAAAATTTGTTTTCAAATTCTGTGATGATAGGCCAGGCCCTCTGACCTTCTAAATAGGCTCCTAGCCCCAGTAAGTGTTGCTTGCAGTTGGTAGTGGAATAAATTTTGCTTCTTCTAAACCTTAACAATTACACGTCACTACTTTAATGATTCCAAGGCATTTCCTAATGAATGATTGTAGCATGGTGTCATTTTTTTCTTCATGCCATATTATTATGAAAAAAAAGAAGAAATAGATGTGCATATTTCATAAAACATTCATTTTGTTCCCAGGTGGCTTTCCCATCAGCTATTCTTGAACAGTGTTACAATAAGACACTGTGGCTACCTCCACCACAGATTTATGAATTGAGTCGCCTAGTTCAAGTTAAAGCATATGAAGAACTTAAAAGATTTGCTGAACAACGTGGGAAACTAGGATTTGATCGGTATATGCCTGTGATGATTATTACCAGCAATGGTAGACTTTCTGTGTTGCCAGGTCAGTGCTGATGTTTTGTCATATTGGGAATGAATTAAAGGCACAAACTTGACAAATTGTAATGATGAACTTTATATAAATTAACTTCAGTTTACTTTGTTTTTGAGTTTATTAAAATTATTTGAACATTGTTGTACTCGCCTAGTAGTGCTTGCTGTGCTGTGCTGTGCTGTGCTATGTCCACCACATTATTGTGAATGGGCTGCATAATACATGGCTTGGCAGGATCTTAGATGCAAAGTTTATTTTGAAGTCATGCACTATTCTGTCTGTATTCTGAGCTAGATTCGGTATTTAAGCATTTTCTAGTGTCTGCCTAGCACCCCTATAACTTGGCATGAATGATTGGAAAGGACCTTCTACTGTGCCAGATCTGAACCAGAGATCAGTAGAATCTTGCCTTAGGAACAGTTAAGTAGGGTAGCTCGGAATTATACAGTACAGTACTAACTTTTAACACTTTCCATATAAATTGAATGTTAATAAAGTATCTACTTAAGTAATTTTTTTGCAAAATCATGATTAATTTATTAAAGTATCCCATGTAATCAAAAGCAGAAAATGACAAGCAGCTCAGTAATTTTGTTTCTGCTTCTTTAGATGATTAGACTTGGTTAAGACAGTCAAGGTAATAAATAGTTTAGGTAAATGTGAAATTTGCATTAACATGTGGTTAATGGGTGTGGATGAAATATATTATAACATCAACTGTCTCCTGATCTATATTTTGTTTATAACTTTCTAGGTGACGATTTGTATCCAGAAGAACCAGACTACATTGGGAATGAAGCGATACGTAAAATAGATTCGACTTTAGAAGAACTACGGGAAGCATCTACACATTTAAACCGAATAGAAGTGCGGGGACCAAGTGATTTTCTTTGCCTTGTGAATATTATACCAAAGTATGGACACATCCCTGCTTTCAATTATTTACAGGTATTTAACCAAGAAAAATCATAGCTGACGGAGCATCCTTTGTGAGTGTAGTAATATAATTACTGTATATCTGAAGCATATTAAAGTTATTATGGTGATGAACCAAGATTTATTTGCCATTCAAAATTATACTGTTCAGAACAAGCACATTTACAGTACTGTATTGTACTTGTAATGTATATACTAATTTGCAAGGATGGGAGGGAGGATTGGGGGAAAAAGTGAGGATGAGACGAAGGTGGGAAGAGGGGATAAAAAGATGTGGGCACAGCCGGGTACCCCTTCTAGTTACTATACTGTACTTACATAAAGGATACAAATCTAATTCAAATTAACACTTTCTCTGGCCCGGCGGGCCACTCCCATCGCACTGGAAGGTAGGCTGAGCATTGCCGATGAGCACACAACCCAATGTTAAACTCTTTCACTAACAATGTTTATACTTAATAATAAGACTATGCAAAAATTATTGCATGGCGACGCTTGCGTTATCACCCACTCTGCGTGTTTTGGTTTTATGCCGCATAATGCGTCATCAGGATGCCCAAGTGTTAAGACCAGGAAAGATGCAAACCTTCATGGGTGCTCATAGCATTAGGTATCTGAAAAATGAATGTACCCCACTGATGCTCATAGCAGTGAAACGGTGAACTCAAAAGTGTCAGTTTTAAGTGTTAAAATTGATAGTAAATTATGTTTATTAAAATAATGTAGTGCCAGTTCTACATTCATACAATATAGGGCCTAAGTGGTATGAAGTACACAAGCATAAAATAAGACATGTTTGATATTATATAAGTCTGAAAGCTTCAACCTCAGCCATTTCAAAATGTCTATTGTGTCACATAAGAAAGGCCAGATGTATAATAAAGGCTTTCCAGCTCATAATGAATTGTTATGGCAGCTGAACCATTGCTGATGCCACTCTTAACAATATCTGGCTGTACAGTACTCTCTGGAACAGATGAAATAGATACCTGTTTTCCTGTATTGTACAAAGAAAAACTCGATCAGGTCCCTGAATTGGGCACACAAATTTATTTATTAAACTATTTATTAAATTGTTTAAACTGATTTATTTTGTATTTATTAAACTGAATAACTTTATATTTTGCATATTCAAAGGTACACATGGAAAAGGTGTAAAATTCAGCTGGCTAAAAGAATAAGTACAGTGTATAGTATTATTACAGTACCACTTAAAAAAGAAAAAGCAAATATGCCTATGACCTCTTATTCCACATTGCCATGTTTGTATAAATAATTTTATTTTGGAATTATTGCCCTCTTTGGTTTCTACCGTGTCATAATCATGGCATCAGGAACTTTGATGTAAATTTAATTAATAATGTTTAGGGAAAGCTGGAGAATGGATCCTTGCGACTCTAAAAGTGTATGATATAAACCAAAGTTTATTTCCTAGATTTATTGTTCCATTCAGCACAATATACAACCTTAAATATTAATATACATAGATTACATGTCTATATGTACACAATTTTTCAGGTTATTTAAAACTAGATTTACTATATGTGGACAAGTTTCCATTTGTAGCCAGATATATACAAAGATGAAGCAATTATTTCTGCTAAATACTATTAGACAATGCTCAGTCCAATGTATCTGATCATGTGTGTGTGAATGGTTTTTCTGTTTTCCATCATTCCAACACACACACATTTAACACTTTTTTCAGCATTCGTACATATATGTACAGTACACTTAAAAGCCATTTTAGTACATAGAAGAAATACAATTCAAGACGCCTTGTTTGAAGAATAATTAAAAGCTCTTTTTGAATAGAAGAAACTAAATAATTTTGAAGAAGTGAATGAGAATAAAAATATATGGAATATGAACCATAAATTGAAACAAAATGTTGGGAAAGAAAATTTAGATATAAATAATTACATGACTGAATTTACAATATCACTCATAATAAAGGAAATATTAATAATAATGAAAGTTTACAAAACTGCAGTAATAAAATATTATTAAGTGAGATCTATCAGTTGCATACATATGATGAATGACATAAGAAAGACTGATAATGCAGTTCGTGCGCACATTAATAGTAAATGGTTACCGATTGTGAGAATGCACACAAATCTGTTCAACAATGCAGTCGATGCACAAATGTAATCTTAAATGAGTACAAGATTTTAGTAATATACTAAAGCCTGCTCAATACACAAGACCAGAAATGTATTAAGTTGGAAGATTATCCTAGTCTCTGATCCCCACTATGCCTTAGATAAAAAACTCACTTTATCTGGGTCGAGGCTATGGACACATTGTTAATGTCACACAAAGAACACTAGAAAATGCTCATGGCTCTCTTGGGATTACAAGAAAGAATCAACATTTATCACATAAATGTGTATAGATTGATCTTGCAAGTATATATAAACATCATTTTTCAAAATACAGTATTTTTAATGAATATGCCCATTTTTATATAAACAAAATCAACGAAGTGCTAAAGAATTAGTATGTATGATATTTTTGTATTTGACAGTACTGTATAGATGAAATGGCCTTGAATGATTCTTAAAGTCAGATCCTAAAATAAAAAGGAAGTTAATAATTAAAAGAAATCCTGTAATAATATTTTTGAAGTACTGTATAATACTTTATATAGTTGCGAGCACCACTAATTTTTAATAGCACTTCCTCCTAACATTGCCATTCTTAAGTTCACAAACTACGATTGTGACCAATACCATATGAGAGAGCCTCTTCACCTAACGTTAACCTTTTACCATGCGGCTACATTTCCTCACAGCTATTTTTCCCCATACAATATATGCAAAAATATTATTTTACAAGCTAGAAAAAGTTGCAGACATAGAATAAAAAAAAAATGGTGTCAGTCATTCACAATGTCGTATTCGGGAACCAATTTTGCCACTACATGTGGTCTAGTGTGTTATATGTACACTATGACACTGCAGGTATTTACACTTTATTACAAATAAGTGTGATTTTATAAGTTAAATCTTATTCTATTATTTTAGAAATTGTTAATTGCACCAAAACAAAAAATCTGATCTGTAATTTCATTTAAACTTTTTAAAAATGTCATCCAGTATGGTAATATTTGTATCAAAGAAAAAGGGACTGTATTTAGTACAGTACAGTAGTTCATTTAAGTTCCAAGAGCCATCTGTTGACAGCAGAAATAACCTTTCATAAGAACAAATCCACAAGGGTCGTGACGAGGGTTCGAACTTACGCCCGGGATGATCCCAGACGCTGCCTTAGTTGACTAGGCCACGACATGGTCAAAAGAATTGCAACCGAGAATTCCACCGACTTCACACGGATCCTGCAGCCTCTCCGAGACACAAACCAGGGTTTTACACAATTCCCCCATGCACTCGGGCTCTGCCAACAAGCTGTTTACCTCTTTGCCCTCACTTCAATACACAGAAATCACAATAGCATGATGTGTATCATACATTATTAGCAAATGATCCATTGATTAGTACTGTATGTGAATATTTTGTGAGCATTTACTAAAATAAAAATATTAAAGTTGTTAATTTTCAGAATACTGTAGTATACTGCACATTTAAACAAATACTTCTCTCTTTGATTTAGGATTTACCTTTGAGGATGCTCCCAGTCCCAAGTCACTGGAGAAACGAAAAGCATAGCCATCACGAGTTATTTGTGCCCTTCTTGACATTGTAGCCACACGGCTGATTCTTTTAGATTCTGCATCATGAGTAATTCTTAAACTTAAGGTACCCTTTTTGTTAATTTTGCTATCATCGAGAATTTCCCTGGGTGATGACTGGTCTGGAGATATTTCACAAGGCGTTACCATGCCAGTGAAAGATCGTGTCCTGAGTTTTTGTAGCTTTGAGTCTTGATAATTTTCATTAATGTATGAATTTGGGACCATTAAACTAACCTTGTGTGTTGGTTGGTTATGTGTATCAGGGTCTTTTTCCGTTGGATTGTGGGATGAAATATCTTGATCCAATAATGATAGTGCTCTCTCTCTCAAAGACTGGTTAGTGATATTATTATACAAATCATCATCTGCTAAAATGAATGTGCCATCCTCTGTAATACTTGCCTGCTTAGGGGACTTTGAATTACCCTGTTTATAGCAGCCCTTAGTGTTTTCTAAATGCTTCTCTGGTTTTGGGATATTAACTATCACAATATTTGTTGCTTCGAGAGTTGTGTAAACCTCTGCAGATCTCACATTGACACTCTTATTTTCTCTGTTAGTAAATTCCTGAGTAAAACCTTCTTTTTCAGGTTTTCTAGTTACATCATGAATTGAACTTGAACTGATGATCACACAGTCATCTGAAGGTGTCTCTAAAGTATTTTCACCGGAAGTTGCCCCAAAAGTATTGGCAAACCTTGCTTGTAGAAACTCCATCTTGCTCATTGCACTTTGTTGATTTTGGCCTTTTTCCCTGTGGTAAGTTTGTCGATTCTCCCGTAGAGATGTCCTTGCAAAGGTTCTCCCACCATTTATCTTGTGAGTTGGGGACTCTCTTAGAGATGCTCCAGCAAAGGATCTGGCTTTAAGGAGTACTCTTGTATGAGTGGCCATATCTGAAGAAAGCCTGAAAGACTCTGGACGGGCACTTCGATCCCGATTCCTTGCAGATGGAGGAATAGAAACTCTGGTGCGAACAAAATGCCTTCCTTCAGGAGCACTGAAACTATCTAGGCTACCCCGAAGTGAATCCATGTTGAGGTCATCAGTGGCTAGGCCTTCGTTAGAAAGATAACAACTACTTTTGGAGAGACATGAAGTGCTGCTCGAGAGCCGAGAAGTAGTACTAGGGAAAGTGGAAGAATCATCATTATTGATGGTAATGTTAATGTTGAAGTCTTCATTAGTAGTAATACTGTATCTTCTTTTAGTATCACTGCTAAAATTTGTGGTGGAGTTGCACTCCTCAATATTATTATTTATACTGCTGTAATTTACATTGATGTTATTCTTAGTAGAGATGTGCGCAGTGGGAGTGTTAGTACTGATGAGGCTGGTGTTGCTCGAGTCACTCAGAATGTGGTGAGGGTCGTGATACTCAACCTGTGGAAAATAACTACTGTTTGTAAATAACATAATGACAGCAAAAATAATCATTTAAACTTTACAATATACAGTACCAGTACTGTATATTGTAGAAATACTAAGTATATATTTTTTAATGATATAAATTCCAAATTTCCTTATTACAATGCTACTTTTTTATTTAATATTTACATTTTTAAGCTTGGCATCTGCTTTAGGATACTGATGAACAAGAAATGCTGTGCAAAACATTCAGGCAGAAATAACCACATGAAAAAGGAAACAATGATACTAAGTACTTTTGAACATTTTGTTTTGTTCATCTTGGAATTAAGATCTGGGGGAGCAGATACAGCAAACAGATTATGCATTGATATGTTTCCATAAAATATGATTCCTAAAATATTACATCCAGGTTTCCAAATTACTGCTGGGTTCACAGGTGGGAATAGCAATGGAATGATTGATAGCCAATCATTCTGCCCTGTTCAGCGTTTGAATCCAAGTAATTCTTGCTGTTTTAATATATTAACTTGTGTTTATGCCATAATAAAAAATACTCCTAATCATTTTGTTCCTCTTTCATGTGATAATCCCAACGCACACATACACGCACACGCATATATACCGTATAGACTACTGTAGTCTATTTTGCAACCTTCTAACCCTTGAAAATAGTGATCTTAGTTGAGATAAGGTCAAAATTCTTCAAACATGAGTGTTTTAATCTGGTCATAGGAGCTGACAGTGATCCAGTGGAAGGCATAGAAAAACAGGTATGAACCTTCAAGCATGTATATATTATATATTTGTTTATTTACTTATATATTACTAGAGAGAACATTGCATTGTTTTGGTGTGGCAGCTGTGACAACACTTCAGTGTGGCAAGCAGCTTCACTAAAGGCAAGACAGCAAATGCTCTTAAAATTAATAACATTATTATCATTATAGTGTAGTACTTAGATTTTTCATGCTATGTCTCTGAACTAGTAAAGTTATAAAACCTACTGGTAGTCATTTTTGGTAATTCTACTGTACAGTACCCAATCATCATTTATTAAATTAACTGTAGATGCATTTTTTTTTGTATTCTTATTCTGTACTGTATTGATGCAATATAACCCAAGAAACTATTTTTCATTATTAAAATATTAATACAGCAACAGTAATCAAATATGATAAACTTATAATCGATCACTTACAATTTACCAATTAGCTGTTTTCTGTATATCATGCTTCAAGAAACTATTGGTATATGTACCTAAATGACATTAACAACTGTAAATAATATTCTATTGCATGTAAAAAGGGACAAAATCCCCCCAAATTAAATTGCATTCCAACACAATTTGAAATAGGTTATGATATGCATTGACGAGTACATATGTTTTGTTTACAAATTTGTTTTGATATTTATGGTCAACCTTCATAATGTTCCCTCTAGTGTATATATGTTCAATTATATGTACAGTATAGCAATACATTATACAAGAACACCACTGACAGAATAAATTAAGAATTATATGATAGTTGTTTAGAAGGTCAGAAATGTTAAAGTTAATGCCACAAACATGCATATTATATACACTGTATAGAACATGTAAACATACATCAGGGAAAAATAATAACTAGAGGCATGTACAGTATTTATGAATACAATAACATTTAAAGAATCAATTGAGTAACATTATAATATATGGTTCCAATATCCAAAGATACACATGCTAATTAGATTATGTTGAAGAGTACTGTATTCAAATTATAAAGATTGAAACATGAAACAATTCTTTCAGACTGCAAGAAGCTGTAAAAAGGATGGATCACATATCGTGAACCCAAACTGCATCGCCCTGGGTAATGTGGGTGACACGGGGTGATGTAGAAATGGCCAGAATTGTGCTGGTATATCATTACTAAGACAGGTAAATAATCCCCCTAACAATGAATATTCCAGTTCTAAACTGAATGAAAAAGAGCTGGAATACATACTCTTCAACATTATATTATTAATGAAGGTTCGATAATCAATGATTTTAAGAGTAAATGCTATGAGCTACATAAATTTGTAATCATTCCATTTACTTACAGATGCTATCAGATACAGTACTGTATCTTCATAGGCTGCCGAATGTATGCTTGTACAGGCTATTAAGGTAAATTAAGTCTCATACATTGTAAACCATTCTGAGAGATGAGCATATTAGGTGAGCACAACTACAGGAGCCTTGAATTTTCTCCCCCCCTCCCCCCACCCCATGAGCTTTGTAATGCATCATAGCATCATAGATGATGGATAACAACACAGTGCTGCCTATGTAGTTTGTTAATAACAAAAAATACAAAACATACTGTGTACATACACCCACCAGATACCCCAAGCTGATTAATGAGCTATTGTTTTCTTAGTCTTAATATTATAGTCTTTGTCCAATACCCTGAGACACACACACACACATATACACTTGCCTGGATTAGTCACTCGAATGTTTATTCTTCAAAAGAAACGAAAATATTGAAAAAATGTCAAATTACAGTTACAAAAGTTGCTGTCTTAAGTTTCTTCTTGACCAGGCACTGATACATTGTAATGTATCCTATCTGTACATCATCAGGTACACAGGGAGACCTGTACATGTATATTCAAAATGAGTACATTATAGTTTCATTGTTAAATACTGTATATGCAATCGACTGCTTCACCCATAACATAATTTTGAAGAAGCTCTGCAAGTGATGCCTCCAGCCAGGTGTTGGTATGTGAGGAAGCCTTACTCGTGCTAGTAATGGAATGTAGAATGCTGTTATGTCCCTTCTGTATACTTAGCCCATACATCAGGCCCTTCTTCTACCTCTATAATGTACTTCTGAAATTTGTGTGTGCGGTAGCTGTCACTGTCTACCTGACAGCGGCCTGCTGACTTAAACTGACAAACACATACTAAACTGATGTTGTGCAACTATTTGCACAGATACAAATAGCAAGTTAGCCAGTTGTTAGGAAATATTAATGATGTTTGCCGAGCCTGTTGGGTGGAGAGCTCCGAAGACAGTAACAGAGAAGACGGGAAGGGCTTGTGCCAGGCAGAGCTGCTCCTTCAGCGCTCAATCATTTGAACCGTTCCTTACAAGTAACCGGATGTATGTCGTGTCCGTAATTAAAAACAAATGAATGTCTTCAATGTGACACTTTCAATATCCGATTACTGATTATACGTTAGGTCACTAAAATTCGACAGCAAGTCGTCGAAGTAAGATTGCCAAAGTCACATAATTTAGTCGTTAGGCACAGTGTTCACAATCGAAGATTTAAATAGATCCTGGGGGTATCCAGGATGGAAAAAAAAAAGGTCTGTGAAGTGTCGTGTACATAGACCAGGCTTATCGCATCCGGGTCATGCTAGCTGGCGAGATTTGAAGTACCTATGTGCATGGTGCCGGAAGTCTGGTGATGTCCTGGGTGTAGAGGTCCAGTTGAGGGAAAACAAGTGCGACCAGGGTGTATATATAGAGTGAGGTACAGTATAGTCAAAAGTAAGACTTACATTCTGGTAGCAAAAAACAAGGTATAGTCATGCTGTGATGAGAGCACTCAGGCATTATGTAGGCTCTCACAGCTGGTCAACCATTAATCTTTGTCGTCATCAACTCCCCAGTTCTCACTCTTGCATTCAGCATTATCATGCTCTCTCAACACCAAGGAAATACAGTACTGTATAAGGTTACAGAGAATCCCCAAGCGATATATACATCGATAGGTTAAAAAAAAAAAAGCTAAAATCCCATATGTAGAAAAAGACAAAGATGAGAGCCTAGTAGAGCCGCCACACGAGCCACCAACCTTCACAAGGGCCTAGAGGGTCGTGGTGAAGCAGGTCATATCATGTACTCAATAAAGGTGTTGGTCACTCTTGTTTTAGTATCACATTCACTTCAAAAATCTACCACTCACATGTCCATGCCACCTCTTCGGTGGCTTAATCTTTATCAATAATCAATCAATTGTCTTGGTGAGGGCGACGACCGACATAATACAAGCACGGCCAATACACACACACAGAATAAACAGTCAAGGACACAAACAATCGGATACAATATAGATTAATAGAAAAAAATCTTTGGCACAAATAATTGACAGTGAAAGTTTTAGATATACTTATGTTTTAGAGTTCAGAACCATCGACACAACAATATACACTAACAATTACGACAATCATTTGGTTCAGTCAGCGCAAAGTTCTCATTCGCAAGCATTAATTGTTAATAAACACTCGCACAGTGCATATACATAATTTAATATAATATTACATTACTAAAGCTATTAGCATATTAGCTGTGAACATTATGTACAGGTCTGTTGCTGCACAGAGAGGCAAGCCACACCAACAAGCCCCACAAGGCTTTAGAGTCATCAGTAACAGTATCAACCATGCAGGCACTGTAGTGTAAACCCAGACTAGTGCAGGGAAAACTCCCACCTAACATGCAATCATGCATCAACATCAACCATGCAGTAAAAATAACATTTACTATAAACGCATGCAGTAATGCAAGCCTAGATTGGTGGATGCTGCAAATACCCACCATAAGTCGCACCCAAGACTTATGGAAGCTTGCTGGGTTCCATAAGTCGTTTGGCGGTATGTCTACTCACAGGATGAGTGGCGCTGCCCAATAATCTCGCCCCTCGGGGCAAACTTAATCAAATCTTGCTTAAATGTTGCTTAAATATAGGCGAGTGTGTACACAGTCAGGCAAGTGTGTGTACATAGCCAGGCAAGTGAGTGTGTACACAGCCTGGCGAATGTGTATACACAGGCAGGCGAATATGTACGCATGCAGTTTCCGTGAATTATGCCCACAAAACATCTTCAAGTGAGGTGGTGCACTCTGCAAGAGCCACACATAACACCCACTCTGGCTAGCCTGAGCAGGTCCAGTGATGGAGTTCAATGTACTACCCCCCTGAGTTTGGACTTGGACTTTTGGACTTGATGGGAATTCATAGTGTAAGGAGTGTCTCGTTAGTACCAGCGTCTGACCATGAAACAAACATTTATAATTTATATGTTTAGCACTTTATTCCACCTTAACCAATATTTCAAGACCTTATAGCAGCATGCGCATGAGTTAAGTTTTCGTGACTACGTATATTAGTAAGAAGAGGTGAGAGTGAGCCTTAAGGCGTTGGTAGCGTTAGTGGTGTCGGAGCGGCACAGCTTGATGCATTAGCAGACTTGGGTGTAGCATGGAGTAAAGACGTGCAAGATGATGCAAGCGCGAAATGGGAACGAATGAGAGGCATGGTCGAGAGGCAGAGATAAGGAGAGACACAAAGACAAAGGGAATTTCGGTAATATTTTTGAAACAAGAACCGAGTTAATGAAAATAAATATGTAAGAATACAGTGTCAATGAGACAGTTACGAAAGAAGTGTTGGTGTAGGAGCGTTATTACTGAGAAGGTGAGTAGACTAGATACACGGTGAGTAGGCTACAACCGCACCACTACACGGTGAGTAGGCTGCTCCAGGTGCTTTAGTGGTGGTGGTAGTCATACCGTTACATAATGAGTGCCTCGCGGTATGGTGGACGGACGAGGGGTCGTCCCGCTGCTGCTGCTGCTGCTGGGGTCTTGTTACAGTACTCTGCCGCCGTCACCACCGCAGAGCTGGATCGCGGGCGGCCCGTTGGCGCATCTGGACCCCACCTGTTGTTGCTGGGGGAGGCGCCATCTTCGCCCACAATACCCTCAAACACCCTCATACCAGTGGATTTGTGGGTACTGGTGCGGCTGAGAGTGGTGGTGTGGGTACTGTCGGGGCTCTGCTCACAGCACCCAGACAAGGTCTCCGAGTCTGGCCTCCCTAGCAGGTGAGCCGAAGACGATCTCCGCCGGTTACGAGCATTTGGGGCGTAAGACTTGCGACACCGCATGAAGGCCAGGTTGGCCGGCCCAGTCTGGTCCAGCTGGCCATTCTGAACTAAATGTGGACTATTGGTGGCCCTCTGGAAGTTGTGGTTGGTTGTTCTAGAAGGCTGGGTGGGGCTGGAGTCCGGGCTAGTATGAGCAGCCTGTAAGGAAGCAAGGTACACTACCTGCAAGGCGGCTACACCACCACCTCTCATGCCTTGGTCACTCAACAGCGCCTCATCTTGGCGATGCCCCATGTTAATACACCCTATCTACACTGGCTAGGACCTCTAACTACGTAGAGAATCTATTTAGCACGGGCCTCTACTTGGCAAAGGGCTCTACCCGCCCAAGCAGCAAAGGGGTTAACACAAGTGTTTAAAATTTTAAAGTCACTTGTTGTATTAACTGATAAATTAGTCTACACAGCACAAAGAACACATGAAGCTGCTACAACAGATCTACAAGAGCCACAAATTAAACTGAAGACTGGCTAATATTACAGAAAGTGTGACGGGAGGTAGTATGGTTCAAGATTTGTATCTAGGACAAAATAATCACATTATATTAAAGTTGGGACAGAAAGAACGTATTAGTATAAATGCCTCACCTTCGGCACAGGATCCAAGCTTCGATATTTAACTTGACAAACTTAACAATCTTAATACACCGAAAAAAAGATTTAGTGGCATATGACAAGTAATACGCCCACTCAACTATATATACATATCTATATACATATTAATATGCATGTACATTAAATTACCTACCTTAAAACTTTGCCTGCCGGAACCCAAGACAGCAAGTACAATCTGCTTTACAGCAATGGTATGACCGAACTGCTCTGTCTCCATGACATTCAAACCTCAATGAAGCCTTCAGCCAGTCGTTGAGGGAAGACCGGCTTGTTTCTCCAACTGTTCCATTTTATACTCCACTGAAATTAGACGCCTCGCTCCCATCCCTTTATGGATGGAGTGAGGGGGGAGGGAGGGTTTGAGTTAGCCTCACCTTAGAGTAGCGTGAGAACTGGGAGTCTCTAGAAGAGTTGGAGGAAAGAGTGGAGGTGGGGCTTGTTGAGTGGCTAGTGGAGTGGTCCATTTCCAGGCCTTCGTCCACATCGGAGAGGTTATCGTCCCGGCCTCCAGTCTTCTGCAGGGTCCTGCCCACCACCACCTGCGTACCCACTTCACCATTAGTCCCCGCGCCTCCTCTGCCCTTATTCTATACCAAGCCCCACTTATATGTCTGTATGTCTGCTTTCAGCGCCGTGCAGAGGGGGGACCTGCTGCCTGGGTAACAGCTTCTCCCCCGAATCAACCTACCCTGGCTTTGCGCCCTGGTGAGGCCACTCCAGACCGACAACCAGAGCGCAACTCCATAGTCTCCTGAGACTGATGGATGCCTACTATGTCTGCTTTCTTACTCGTGTTCCCGGCACCACCTATATATATATATATATATATATATATATATATATATATATATATATATATATATATATATATATATATATATATATATATATATATATATATTTACAGCTCAGACACGTACGGGAAATTGGGATTCAGATAGAATTTCGAATCCCACCGAATCTGAACGTTCAGAGATCATTTTCATTGTCCTCAAATAACCTGCTCTGATTGATTGTTTAACGGGATTTGCTGCCTCCGCGTGACTCCAAGGTGAGCCTAACACTCGACTAGTTCGCCCACACCAACCGTTTGTACGGACTACATGGATATATATATATATATATATATATATATATATATATATATATATATATATATATATATATATATGTCGTACCTAGTAGCCAGAACGCACTTCTCAGCCTACTATGCAAGGCCCAATTTGCCTAATAAGCCAAGTTTTCATGAATTAATTGTTTTTCGACTACCTAACCTACCTAACCTAACCTAACCTAACTTTTTTGGCTACCTAACCTAACCTAACCTATAAAGATAGGTTAGGTTAGGTTAGGTAGGGTTGGTTAGGTTCGGTCATATATCTACGGTAATTTTAACTCCAATAAAAAAAAATTTACCTCATACATAATGAAATGGGTAGCTTTATCATTTCATCAGAAAAAAATTAGAGAAAATATATTAATTCAGGAAAACTTGGCTTATTAGGCAAATCGGGCCTTGAATAGTAGGCCTAGAAGTGCATTCTGGCTACTAGGTACGACATATATATATATATATATATATATATATATATATATATATATATATATATATATATATATATATATATATATATATATATATATATATATATATACATACTATATAATATTTGATGGGACCCTTATGTTTGTGCATTGCCAGAAAGAGATGTTGTCTTAAATTGCCTATACACTGAGACTGACATTCCCCAACTGGGCATGTTAAGGCATAGACGACATTCGTCTCTTTCAAGACGTTTTGTTTGGTGTATTCTTGCCCTTATAGTGTATTATTTACTCAATCTAATGGTCGTCGACACCAAACAAAACACCTTGAAAAGAGACGAATGTCGTCTATGCCTTCACGTGACCATTTTGGGACTGTCAGCCTCAGTGTATAGGCAAGACAATATGTCTTTCTGGCAATGCACAAACAGGAAGGTCCCATCAAGGATCATATGGTCTGTACACACAACCAGAGCATCGTCAGAGATATCCTGACAAACAACACTCAAATAATCAAAGATGCAACGGTAACACAAGACTGGACATGGGCTAGGCACTGCTCTTCAAACACACTCAGCCAACTATCAACAGCCAACTTACACTCGGTTACACTCCCATCGTCCACACCAAGATGGAACACCCAACATAATATCCTCCGTAGATGGGTAAGCTAGAGTGAGCCAACTTGTGGTAAACCCCGTCTCTCTCTCTCTCTCTCTCTCTCTCTCTCTCTCTCTCTCCAGTACTTGTAACTCTTATCCTTCTGTCCTTCCCTATTTACCTCTTGTTAACTAATTATCTCTCCTCCCATAATCACCCCTCTCCATCAAGTAATCTCCATCCACTAGTAACTCTTGTATTTACGCCTCCTACCTTAAATATCCCCTAAGCAACATTTACCCCTTCCTCACTGATTTCCAAAACAAACCTCATCGTCATCATCATCATCCTCCTCCTCGTCGTCGTCGTCATCGTCGTCCTCCTCTTCGGTGAAGGAGTCGAGGGAGGCTGGCGACGGGGGCCGGTAGGCGTGCGCGGGGGAGGTCTTGAGGGCGGATATGGAGTCGTGAAGGGTGAGGAGCTGCCGGAAGAGCGCGTTGTCTTGGTTCATCAGCGATGCCTGTCAGGGGAGAGGCAGCGTCAGGACTCGCGCCAACATGGAGCGGAAAGAGGCAAGGCGGGAGAGGTGCGGGAAGCAGAGGGAAAGGAAAGAGTTGTTGTTGTTTTAGATTCAGCTACTCAGAACAAAAGTTCCAAGTAGCGCGGGCTATGGTGAGCCCGTAGTGGACTTACCTAGCACAGGAGCGAGGCTGTGTATGTGTGGGAAAGAGCCAAGCCATTGCGACTATATAGCACTTGGAAGCGGATCAGGAATAAAGATTTGGGATGGGGGGAAAGAATGGTGCCCAACCACTTGGACGGTCGGGGATTGAACGCCGATCTGCATGAAGCGAGACCGTGGCTCTCCCGTCCAGCCCAAGTGGTTGGGGAGAGAACATACAGAAGCACATGTGGGTAATATATCTTGTAGTCCATATATACTAAGCTAATGTAGAGGTTAGTCAACCTATGTGAAATATACTCAATAAATCAAGTTGGGCACTGGGACAAATATATTATGAAGGGACAAATATTATAAAAAAAATTTAAAAATGGAAGAAATATCATAGTGATCAAGCTTCTGACTGATTAACTTAACGTCAATTGTTAGAAAATGACTTGCGATAACTACACATGCCATTCGTTGTCAATTTGAAAAAAAAGAAGCTTCGCAATTTGGCTTTACAAAAAAAAAAAAGAACAGCATGTTTGCTAAGTTTATTCATTCCAAAGATATTTGGAACAGTGGTGAAGATCATCATATTATATATACACTCGGACTTTATTCACGCTTTATTTATACTCATTCTGACATTTCAGATTCAATTTTGTGTTTTTGCTGTTTTTACGAAAGAAATTATATTGATGATTTTGAGTTAACTTGTGAGGAGAGAGTCTTCATCTACCTCATGACCTCCTCACCCCTCATGATGTTAGTAATTCTTATTATTATTAATAACTTTGATATTATTCCCCCCTTTTATTATTTGCATTTTTATTAACTAACAATATTATTAGTTATTTTTACGACTATGATCGATAATTATTTACTGAACACCATCCTGTCGACGGTGATAATATCTCGAGTTAATGGACTCGAGACAGTAAGACCACACCGTCAATGACCGTGACCACACCGTCAATGACCGCGACAACACCGTCAATGACCGCGACCACACCGTCAATGACCGCGACCACACCGTCAATGACCGCGACCACACCGTCAATGACCGCGACCACACCGTCAATGACCGCGACGACGACACCGTCAATGACCGCGACAACACCGTCAATGACCGCGACTACACCGCCAATGACCGCGACCACACCGTCAATGACCGCGACCACACCGTCAATGACCGCGACAACACCGTCAATGACCGCGACCACACCGTCAATGACCGCGACGACGACACCGTCAATGACCGCGACCACACCGTCAATGACCGCGACGACGACACCGTCAATGACCGCGACCACACCGTCAATGACCGCGACGACACCGCCAATGACCGCGACAACGACCACACCGCCAACGATGCTCAACGACAATTACCCTGTTTTATAATTACCACCCCAAAAAAAAGCACTTTTCCCCCCGTCCTCTAAACACACTTCCTGGTCTTAAAAAGGTCAACAACTCCAGTTCACGGAAAAAAAGTGAGCTACGCTTCGCTTCTCTAAGAGTTGACGTGTACAAATTCGTACCTACAATTCGTATATAATTTAGGGAATTTACCTTATATAATATAGGGGCGTGGTGCACAACATAGGAACAATACCACCTAGGAAATGTATATGTTTTTATTTCTCAGAATGTTTGGCAATATGTTTATTGTTTGTGATGTGTGGCTAAATATGTATGAACACGATGTACTGAACGGGGTGAGAATAGCTTGAGCTGCCTCATACGTTTGTGTGTATTTTATCTCAATAAACTTATTTCAATTTCAATACCACCTGCACCAGCTGGATACACAGGAACATACGATTTCTGACTCCTGTTAACAAGTTGATGAAAGCCTTCCGATCTTACGGGCTCACCATAGCCCGTGCTACATGGACACTTCGTTCTGAGTAGCTGAATCTAAAAACAACAACAGTCTTCCTTTCTCATAGCTCATTTGTAAGTCTTGCCCGCTAGTTTACCCTGGAGCACGACCTCTCAATCAGTTTACAACCAGGTGTACGCAGGTACTGCTGGGTGAACAGAGACGAATTGTTAAGAACTGGCGGCTAATCAGTTCTTCCTGGCCAGGAT